TCGAAGTGGTTTGATTCTATTGCCGCCCCATTATTTAATGAGCTGGAGAGGGGAGTAGATATCTTTGTAGAAACTTTTTTGAATGTTTTATTTTTTGGAAAATCCATCTATGTATATATATTTGTGTTATGATATGACCGACTCTTTCTGTTGACATTTTGGTACTCTATTTGATTCCATTTTGAGATTTTATCATTGTATATTGTTATTATTTTTATATCTTGTACTTATATTGAAGTTTTTATGTTTGCTTCTGAACTGTACATATGTTGTTTAAATTTGATATTTAATATGGCTACAGCCATTTTGGATTTGATACCGTAGCAATTTGTACTGGAAGCACTTATTCTTCCAGAAGCGGATACCCACCAGGGTAATTTGGACTTAGAAGGTGTAACAATAACCGCTTTCTCCTAGAATTATTGTGTTTTTGATATCGGATTCGGGACAGAGCGTTCCAGCCTACACCTATTGGAAACGGAGTGAATTGTTGTGGTAGAAAATCCATCTACAACCTTTCTACTGCAATATAGAAATGCAAGACATTCGGTGACGAAAGAGACTCCATCAAAGCTATTAAAAGGAGGAATTCCTCGGTCGAATATGAGATGTTTTGAGTCTGCAGAAGTTACATATTATCGTGGCAATGATCTTCGACCATCCACGGGGATTGTTAATAATAATAAGAAGAAGAATGTCGGGAAATCTATGGTGCGACTTCTAGATATCAATGACTTAAGTACACACAATCGACATGTTGATCAAATACAATTCCAGGAACCAGGTGAGTCTGTTCCAATTTCGGTTGTTAATTCTAATACTAATGAGAGAATTCTAGATAATACAGAGCCTTTATCCAATACACTGTCGGACAGACACAAGATGAATTTGAGAAGAAGACGTACGATTGATTACAGACATATACATTCCAATTTAAGCTGTGGCGGATGTGGTGTTTGAATGAACTAGTAACTTCTTGTTGTTGTAGAATGCTTGATTTCGAATTCTAAATACAGTACATTCGTTTGTGCTCGTCCCATAGTTCTTGATTCAGATACTTTTAATCATCATAGCTGGGAAAGAGCAGTAAAGAGAAAGGGGTTGAGAACAGAAAATATTCTAGTTTGAAGCTGAATCATTACTCAACAAATAATTTTTTTGATAAAACAATGGTATGATTGCTCAGACCTCTATTTTTCTGTATTAGAATACTACTGCACACTTGCGCTTATATCGTCTAATAAAGACAGATAACTAGTAAGTGATAGAATGAGAGAATAATCTTATGAATATAGGAGATTTGAAAGAACTGAACTGTTAGAGATAATGTAGATTTACAGAATTTGATAACGAAAGCTCAGGGATCTGATGATTTGGTTATATTCCATTTTTTTGTTTTTTCAACACCACTGCTCAATAAGTCTTGAGTGAGCTCTTTTTCAATATGATTTCTCATACCAGCTTGTACTAGGATTTGTTGGCAGGAAGTGAAACCAGTACAATGTTACAAACGTGAGGCATAGACGTGATTGACTTGGAAAAGTAACATCAATATCATTGATTAGTTACATTCTGCTACATCGAATGGAGCTGTAATCAAACAAGGGGTTACGTTCGGCTACGGCATATCGACACAACATTGCGAATTCCAGGTAACAAGAGTATAAGAGCCCCAATCATTTTTAATATGTTCGCAGCCAAAAGCGAGTCTTTCAAGTGTTGGTAGAATCGTTCTACAAAACTATTAGCTTGTTGATGGGAGGTGGTTGTTGGGGATCACGTGGTCCATTTTGCATAGAAGAAGCACCAAGGTTGTTCTGAGAATGCAAAACCGTAAGAAAGAACAATGCGAATGAATATATGACCATAGCATTGTTAAACCGTTTATGGTGGGGCAGACAGGAAGAGTGGAAGTTCAGGTCGATTATGCGTTTAAGCGTTACTGGACATAACCTGAAGCCAGGGAATGAAACTGCAGAAACAAAAGTTGGTATTAACGTCTATTACTCTTCATTTGCTAGGGTCAGAAAATACGCTGTAGTGTTGCAGCAGGTCTTTGCCATGGATTGAGGTAGATGCATCTGCCATAACGGAAATCCGGCCTATAGGTCTGCTTCGGTAGCAAACGTTTGTCATGATACTAGTTGTGTGATGGAGATCGTTTTATCTACCAGCAACGAAAACCCTTACCACTTAATGGTGGGAGGGTTTCCAGGAGTGTTTGTGACTAAGGAGTTCGAGCTCAAGAAACTGTAGGGTTTAGTGCACTTTCGAGAATATTTGCTATGATAACTGTGTGACCAACACCAATCCCGTTTATATGTTTCTTGCAGTAAAATTCATCTCTCTCTAACTGAGCTTCATCGAGGGGTTTTGAAAGTAAGGGACTGAACTACATGTAACTGAAATTTCTTATTGGGTCGCTCGAGGTGTCTGCTCAAGAGAATAAACCTCGGAGCTGAAGGTTTTGGTAATTTCCAGGATCTGTTCCGTAGGTGTAGCCATTTTATTCATGACGTTAGTTTGTAACGGAACCTGGAAAGCTCTCACTAGCTGGGGAAATTCAGATAAACGGAACGTTCGGAAAAGGCCTCCGTTGAAGGTCCGTTGGTCAGTGATCGCTGTCATGCGTAATAAGATTTCTGTTAACGAGCCGTGTCGTATCCGATTTTGCGTAAAAGTTGGTTTAACCTGTGTCAATCCGCTAGGTTCCCTCATATAGGATTAACTAACTCGCAAGAGTCGAAAACACTATTTTTAAACCTGCAATAAATATGCTATTATAATTACCTTTCAACTCTTGTGGTTTGAGCAATGTAAGGCCAAGCATGGCAGGAGGTTTAAATTGTCCCGTGATCGCGCACTTTTCGACTGACCTGCAACTGGTTGTATCTCCTTACTTTTGTCGCCCAAATTAATGTTTGACTAAATAAACTTCCATTAAATGTATCGCCTTAAATTCCGTTTCTCTCAAAACCTGATCAAAATCCTCATAGTATGGCACATATTTTGACTGCAGAAAAATTGGCGGAGATTAAAAACTATGAAGAGCAAATGTTTGACTACTTTTCCCACTACTCAGCGAAACTTCGTGAGTGGTACGTAAATGGTGGGGACAAGTCGGAAGATTACAAGGCTCAGTATGACAAGCTAACTGAAGAGTACTACAGGTACCTGAAGTATATTCAGCGACTAAGAAGCATGACAGTAATGGGTTATGACAACTTTCATCAAGGTTTGTTTCAGTTTTTTCAGTATACCATTTTTAATTTCCAGTTGGAGTGAGCCCCTTTCAGAACACTACGAATTCCGTGCAACACCAAACTTCTGATGGTGTTGCTAGCTCAAATGCTGCTTATTCGGCATCTGCGGCTGCAGATTACACTCGTTACTATCAGAACATGATTAGCTATTTTGACAAACTTTTGGAGTCCGTTCAGCAAAATGATCCTGAATGTAATGAAAGCTCAGATGAAGAGAATCATGATACGGAGAAAGTATGCTTAAATTTTCCCTCAGTTTTATAGATAAAGTCAAGAGAGACTGCCTTTTGCCACAAATACGAGAGTAATTCAGTTTCAGTTGAAAAAAGTGTCAATTCTGAAAATTCGGCGACCGTAGACCCTTGCTCTGACCCGAATGCTGTGATGAAGGAGTATTTTGATCGTTACGTTAAAGCTGGAGATTGGGATTGGGCATCGTGGAATAATTATCTTAGTTGGATCGCTCGTACAAATCCTCAGTGGTACGAAATATTTGTGAATTTAAGCCGAGGACTTGGCATAGATTGGGATGATATGTATAAAAAATGGGTCAGTTCAGTTTCCGGAGATTCCAGCTGCAATAAAAATCCACTGATGTCCCTTTGTGAGTTAAATTTATTGTACTTATGGTTTCTATCTTTGAAGGAGTAACTATCGTCTACATGTGGTTTGAGTACTGCAGTTGCTTTATTGTTCTTGATGGCACATTTTGTTTGGGTAACCTGAGGATTCAGTTCACCAAATAATTTGGGAATTCGACGATATTTAATTTACTGTTTGATGATTAACACACGATACTGTTTAACAAAACAGGTTTGGACGTTCAAAATGTATTTCATGTATGTTGTATGTGCTTCTTTATGAAGTTATGCAAACGTCACTAGAAGCCACTGAACATGGTCAGGAGTCAGTATGGGTTCCTAAGAGTAAATATTTTGTGTCCAAAATAATCGAGTTCCAGGTTTCAGTTGAATTACCATACTTAAATGCTTGCATTATTGCAAATAATGTTGTGTACCTCACTTGTTTATGCTCATTAAAGTCAATATATTCTTGAATCCGTAGTATTTATTTATGAAAAATGTTTGTTTATCAAAACAAGTCCATCTCAATCAAAATTCTTAGTGACTTCCTTCCATCAAGTAAAATCTACCTAGATGTCACAGATTCACTACTAGCTATGTAATAAACTAGGCTGTTCTACCAAAGATCTGTTATGCCAGGTATTCTATTGAGTTTTTACAGGTACCTTATAGAAGACCAACTTGTTTCTGTTATTTAAGTGTTCTTTCCGTAAACATTTTACGCATTTGTAATTCTATTTCAAATAAAACAATAAATAATCAATACTTGTTTTTACTAGTTTTCAAGCATTGATGTTCTGTGCATTATCATTTGAGCCATTTATTATAGAGTAATAATGTTTCACATATTCGTGTGTCAAATCTGACTTAAAGCTTATGAAATAATGAAGATATGTAAGTCAGGGCTATAATTTTTGGGTCCTCGTGTCCTCTAAGTTCGATGATTTAATCATGTAAAATCCAGTCTGCTTCGCGATTTTCCATGTCATCTTCGCACGTGGCCATATGGTAGGATACTATAAAGTGCCATTCAATGATTTCGCAGTATATTTCTAGATCGGCTGCTTAATACTCTGTTGAATCGGTATTAAGCTTCAACCATTATCTAAGTTTGGAATGGTCTATCGATCAGTGGTTATAAAATACCGAATTATCCAATTTCTGGTTTCAATATATCACTCAAATTCTGTATAATCATGATATCGTAAATGGTTACCTAAATTACTACTTAGTTTCTCTATGACGTAGCTCAACGCTTTTTTGTCATTTTTGCGTAATCTTAATGTGACATTTCATTTTTACTGCATTTTAGATTCAGCTGACCAAAACTTTGCCCTTGCAAATTACCTTAGATTAGGGTCTACTGAGATACCGATTGTTTCTGAACAAAATACTGGAAACGATGATAATGATGACAATGAAGGCTCGCAGCACTATTGTGCAACTTGCAAACAAGACTTTGGTACCGAGCGTGCGTTCATGTTACACTTACGTGGTGTAACACATACCCAAAGGACTCTCCATTCTAATGGAATAAGTTCATTTGACTCCACTGTTTTAGAGGTAAAACTATGCATGCTTTTTGCCTATTAATGTTTCTTTGCGTTTTTTCTATATGGGTCACATAATTGTCTACTTTTTGCAGGAAAACTGGGAGGCAAAACATCACGAATGGTTGAGATCGCAGTACTTGAATGAGAACTCTTTTGTGGGATTATCTGGGTCATTTTACTGTGAGGTAAGATGTTTACCTACATAATCTGAAGTCGTTTTATTTACCTTAAGTTCTGAGTTTCATGAAAAATTTCTGTTTTTAATTAAATGTTGACTAATAAATTTATGCTCATAACTTAATAGACTGGATTAATATTTACCATCTTTCTATTAACAAGGAAAATATAAAAATATCTACGTAGTTTGTAGCAAAATTATCAAGTAGATTAATTTAGTCGTCTTCAGTTTGTATTTTGGATATGTAATAATTCACAGAACAACTGTTTGCGACTACGAGATGGTGGAGAAAATTTTTTCGACTACCCACCAGAATCCTGATGGCCATTAGTCGACTAGTCCATCTTACGATAGTATTGTGTTCGCTTATCGGTAAGTCATAATAAACAGAGCCTCACATGACTGTGTCTGTACTCGATCTTCATTGGTAATATGAAAACTACGAAGTGGAACCAACAAAATGAATAGTACGGCAGCCAAAATTTTTGTAGGTCTGATAGTCAACAGAGATGAACACTGGGAATATAGTTGTAGACGGAGGAACGAAAATATTTATGTGAAGCGATACTAAAATTCACGATATAGAGTAGTCAGTCAGTCAGTTACAATCCAGAACTTCGTACGAATATACATCAGTTCACGTTGCCAAAACACATTAGCACAGAGACGCAATCGCCAGTTTAGATCCCGTAGTGGTAGAGACGGTAGAAGTATTAACGGTAATAAAGAGGATTAGGCTTCGAAGATATTTTTAAAGAAGCATAATCTAGTGAAGTAAACTAAAAAAGAGAATAATATAGGTGATGAGTAATTGAAAATATTAGAATTTGACAAGACACAAAGAGTGGATGCACGTGCGCCGTTGGAAACGATTTTGAGCCATGACCTTCAAGGTCTTTAACCATCGGTTACTATCGTCTAGCGGACCTCAACCTGCTAGTCTACATCTACCAACATAACTCAGTCCGGTTATCAGTGACTTCATGCATTTGTGCCATGTTTTTGGTTTGGCCGCCCCTAGCTTTCTTACAGCCCACTCCCACACCACAAAACAAAACTCGTCGAGGCAATCGGTGGTTGGGGATATGTAACGCATGTCACAACCACCTCAACTGATGAGGGTTCAATACTTCATCAAATGATTTTTCATCCCTACCTAGTACTCGTTTCTTAACTGTACCATTGCTTACTCGGTTGCCCCAGTAAACGCGAACAATGCTTCGAGGACATGTAATCGAATACTAATAACCTGCGAATGTTCTGTACTCTTACTGGCCGTGTTTCGCATTCATATAGTGGGACGGAGTGAACTGCTGCTCAGTACACTCTTCCTTTGGTTAGCAGACGGATATCTCTCCTACACCATAAGTGACGCAATTTGACAAAAGTCAGACGAGCCCTCTGTATCCGTGCTGAGCTTTCGTCAGTCACCAGGCCATCAGCACTGATTAGTAACCGAGATATAAGTCAAGCAGTAGACACGCTCTACTACTTCACTCTCTATCTCTAGTTCAGGTGCCGATGCAAGCTAATCCTGAAGCAACGTTCTGCGTTTCAGCGGGGAGAATCGTATCTCGAACAAACTTGCATTGTTACTTAGAGTAGTCAGAAGACTGCATTTTGTCAGTTTCTTCACCAATCGGAACTACGTCATCGGCATATTCAACGCCAAAAAGCTTGTCTCCTGGTAGAAGGTCCATTCCTGAGAATTCAGACTAAGATAATGTTATTTCTAAAGGCATGTCTAGGACAAAGTTAAACAAGAACGGAGAGAGTGGAACTCCCTGACGGACACCACTTGAAGTAAAGAATTCCGATGACAGTTCTTTATAAGCTCTCACTCAACCTGTAGTTTTCGAGTTTTGAGCTTGTATAAGGTTGATGTACTTCTCTGGTACACCTTTTAATGATAGACACTGCCGCAGACAACTAATATCGGCGTCTAAATGGGTGTCTGTGTTCTAGAACCTGTCGTAGAGCGGAAATATGGCCTATACATCCACGTCCAGGTCGAAACCAGCCTGTTTTTGTCGAATCTGCTTTTCACGAGCTCTAGTTACGCACCGAAGGATTGTGGAAGTAAACAATTTCGACACTATATTACTTAAACTGATTCCTCTGTGATTGACACAAGAGGACTTTTGCCCTTTTTTGTAGATTAGAACAATCAGTGATTGAGATCAGTCAGATGGGATTACGTCCAGTTTTGAGATTCGCCCTAAAATCTCAGTCAGTTTACCTGCTAAAACTGAACTACCATTCTTAAAAAGGTCAGAGGTTGACCTGAAGCTCTCCCTCCCATCATATTCTCTCTAGCTTACCCAACTCCATGAAGAGTCGGACAAGCTACGTTGATTTGCCTTTCAGGTTAACTGGAGGTCGCAGGCAACCGAAGTGTTGCTGAAGGCTAGTTGAATTGATCACCGAAGTGTTCTACCCATTTATCCAATACCCTGGGTTGAGAATGAATGATAAAATCCACCTAGGTGTCTTTCATTTCCACTTAGTATACCTACTTGAGCATTAAAGTCACCAGCCATTATTACTACATGAGAGCGCCTAACATTTTGGAGGAGGTCCGAAAGCTTTCTGTAAAACTCGTCTGAACTGCAGTTAATGGGAGCGTAGGCAGATACGACGAAGAGACAACAGCGTGTCTCCCTATCTTTCTGAGTCTGTACCGTCCCGTTTAGTCGGACAGCGCACAACCGACTATCTACTGGGATCCAGTCTAAGAGAGATAGTTCTGCCCTACGACTCAATGCCATACCTACACCAGCGAGACCACTGGAAGCAGCATCAAAGCTTCCAGATACGCGAAGAGTAAATCGGACTGCTTCTTTGTTTTGACAAGGTGCAATCAGATTAATAATTTTACTAAGGTCCTGCATGCGCGTTTCTGAGACGCAGCATACATCGATGGCACGGGATTCTCACGTCCTAGCTAACGAAGCCTGTTGCCTTATTTGACATTAAAAGCTCCAACATGTGGTCTAGAGAGAGGTTTCAAGAGACCAGAAATGACGTTTCGTGAACTCGCATCGTTTGCATTAGCTGTGCAGTGTGATAAAGGGATGTGAGTAGAGTTAGTTTTGGAGATAAGAGAGGTAATAGGGGGTGTAGGGAGGATTTGATATTGACCAATTTGGTCTCGTGTGCTGCTACGGGTATGAGGGCGGTTGTCACTTCCCGGCTGCCCACACTGTGGAAGGTCGTTTCTTGAGGGACGTGAAAAGGAAGGTAGATTAATGTCGGTCTTCGAGACCCGGAAGCGTGACCGCAGAGACGAAGGGACAACTGCTTGAGTCCGGTCACGCTTGGCCTTTTTATGAGAAGTTTTCAAAGTGTTAGTCCCGCTCTTGTTTAAAATGCCGTACTGCCGGAGACGGAAATCCGTGAGGTAGGGTGAAGTGTGACCCCTTCCTTTCTTGTGACAGGGCAGCATCGTTGCAAATGCTGTTTGTCCGAGGGAAACTGTTTGCTGCTGTCACACTTCTCTGCAGTCAGCAGTACGACTTCGCCCTCAGACCTTGAGTAGCTGCTTTTAGTCTCATCGTTCTGCAATCGACCTGCCTGGCATGGCAGAACCTTAAGGAACATATGCTGCAGCCAATATAGTTCGGTTGGGTCATCACGATAGGCAAGCTCGGTCGCCACATCAAGGTAGCATCTACGGTCGCGAAATTTAGAAGAGGGTAAAGTTTGTTTCCACATGTGATTCTATCATAGATTCTGAGCAATATTACTCGACATCCATAACTACTCACCACGTGGATCTTACATAGGCAGTTTGTGTCTGTCATCAAGGTTCAGTCCAACAATCAGTAATTTCTTGGAATAATATCAAGTCTTCATTGGGTTACCTCCCTCTATGCATCATGTCTCGGCCATTTCAGTTAAGGAAGATTCACGCTCATCAATCGGTTTGTTATATTTGCCCAACCCCAACATAGGTGACTATGTCGTCTCATGATACATAGGTAACGCTTCCACAACATGTATGATTAAAAATCTGTGACCTACTCGTGTCTCTTATTTTCATAGACCATGATTCACAACTTAGCAGTAATACAGAGCAAACTGCCAATCAATACATTATCCTTTTCATTGGTAAAAGATATTTTAATTAATTTATTTTGACTATGTAGTCACATCAGAATAATAGCCATTTCCATTTAAAAACAGTGGTTCCCTTTGATAAATTTGAATAGAGAAATATGTCTCCTTATTTCTCTATTTAAATTTCCATTTAAGTATTTTATATAGCGTTTTCATAGAACACTATCCTTGTAACATGCTAACATTGTAGGAGATCATGCTAGCATTTCAAGTTTCATGAAACTGTATACCGACTTTCAATTTAGATTTATTATTCTTAGGTGTTATCGGTTTTAATTATCCCAAACTTCGTTATTTTCTGAGGACAGATAATTTGAAAGATCCAGTATAAGTTTTTGTTCAGGATCATTAGATTTATCTCTTAGTTGTTGATAGCCCATGCTAACGTCATCAAAGAGTTCAACTAATGTTGCTTGGAATCTTGCTAATATATGAACTATACTATGTTAACGAACACGAATCTTTTTCTTAGAGCGATTTTAGTAGTTGATTAGATTGAAAAACTGGTTCTGTTCATCAATATCTTTGCCGACAAACTACTTGCTAATCAGTCCAGTTTTATAACAATTCAACAAAAATATTTTCTATTGGTCATCAGAGCCTTCTCTGTTTCGTGTAAAATGAAAATAACAAAGTTTATATGTACATCTGTTTACTACATTTTGAGTTGTGAGCTATAATGATACCATTTGACTTTCTAAAGCTTGGCAGGTGGTATGTTCGACTCGGTCAACTACTGGTGTAGAGGAGTTCACTAACGAGTAAATTCAGGTCTTATTATTTACCTTACACAAAATGTGTTAAATCATTTACTTTCCTATTTATGGTGAATATAATGTTTTCTCAACGTCTAGTGGACTCTCACATGAATACCAATTTTTATCCTGTATACTAATACCCATCAAACTTCCTACAGTGTTCCATGATACATTTTTTAATTATCTCTTCTTTCTGCAGTTGTGTGAAGTGGAATTTCCTTCACACAAAGCTCTTGGTTCACATCTCAATGGACGTCGACATCGAGAGAATGTTTTTATTTTTGAATCAACTGGTAAGTCCAGAATGAATTTTGATCTCAGATAAATTTTACGATTACTTATTGTCTGTCTTTAACATTTCTTCCTAAAACATAATTGTTGTTTTATTTTCAGCAATCATTTAGTGGCTTCTTACATCACTTGTCAACTTTTTAATTTTACCTAGGTCTTGTTTCACTTTCAAATCAACTACCAGTAAAAGACGAAGTAATAGTTTTCAAATGCCTAGTGTTAATATTTGCATTAATTTCGTATTTATATGCAACTATCAAGCAAAGTATATATATATAGAGTTGATAGAACAAATGTTGGATCCACTTTATATATATATATATATATATATATATATATATATATATATGTATATATATTTGGTGATTTTTAGTCTTGATACCGTCTTTTTCTAACTGCTTAGTACTGTAATCGTAAGTGCCTCTCATTCAGTCAAAAATAAACTAAAAACAGTCAAATACCATTTCATTACCTTCCAGTAATTATCCATTCTTACCAGAGTTATCTTTCAGCACGTATTTTCGAGCTAGTTTACAGCTTAATGTATTCAGAGTAAATTGACTGACTGAATTCGGGACATAACCTTCATACTATTTATACGAACAGTAAAGTTACTTTTCTGTTCATAGAAAACATGTGAATCACGCCTGGTAATTTGAAAATGCAAATTATGTTTCCCACAAACATTGTAATGATCATACACAGCCATTCATTTTTATATATCATGTCTGATGTAGTGTTTAATTGGTTCACTATTCATTCTTGAACTGATTTCCATATCAAATAAATCGTCTTGATTTTGTTAGTCATTAGCCCATAAAATAATATTGGAAAAGACAATCAGCTTTACATAAATATTATAAGAATTGTTTTCCCATTATAATTAGAGTATGATTTGTAGTGAAATTTTCTCCATCTATTAGATAAGTACGAGTCTCGTATTCATTGTCTTAAATAAATTGTCTGATATGCATTTTCTTGAATTAGTTGATACTCCTTAGCCATATAATCCGTTTTTATTCGACAAGGTAGAGCAGCGATCGCATAATTGTTCTTGGCAAGAAAGAGTGTAATATTTTGTGTCATACACTAAAATGAAGATTTTAGTTTTTGCCTCTACCCAGCATTCATTGTATAAAGAGTAGGTTTGTGGCCGCTGTTAAGGAGCATGTAGAGTTAATTTTGAAAAAAGAACTGATAAATTGAATAGCACTATTTAATATCTATCCAAAAACCTTAGAAATATCCTGTTTTAAAAATGACTATCATTACCAATAAAAACTATCATTTTAAAGTAAGATCCATACTTTTCGAATTGTTCCGATGTTACTTTTTGTCATATAATTGTAGGAGATCGTTCTTTGTTGAAGGGTAAACGCCAGGCTCCAATAAAAGTTACTGCAAAAATACAACCCTTTCTTGATGTCTGCACACAACCTCTAATAGGACTCAATTATATGATCGAGTACCAGTTGCAGGAACTGGATGAATGTCTGTATATTTGTAGCCTCTGTAATCAGTGGTTACCGAGGAAGTCAGTGATAAATCATCTATGCAGTATTGTCCATAGAAAAGCATATCTTGTAAGTTAGTTAAAATAGTATATTTGAGATGTTTTAGGACATGCATTACTTACCTCTGTTCAAAATTATTGACCGGGATCATAGCGACAAATCACTTCAAGCTTGTCGACTGGAGGTGTATGCTCGCAAGATAGAAGATTTTGAAGGAAGGAAGCGTCTTATTATCAAAAAACATTCTGTAGCAGGTAAGCCTAGATTATACCTAGAATTCATTTTACAAGATCTCGATCTTCAAAGTGAAATCGTACGTCTTATTCAAGAATATAATGAGGCACGTCTGTTAAAAGAAAAAGAGTGTACAAAATCGGTAAGAATTCAAATCCTTACTTTTTTAATTGTCTTTCAATAAAGCCTCCGCCTACTCGTGAGCACTCAGCTTCTAGTACTCCCATTTCGGCAGACCTTGAAGAAGGAGAAATAAGAGAAGATTCTTCTTCCTCAGAAGAAGAAGAAGAAGAAACGAATACTAAAGAAGGTATTTTGATTCATATTTTGTTCTTAATAATACAAACCTAGTGGGATCCCCAGATTCGGACTCGAGCTTTTATGCACGTTACAATGTTATCATGAAGTCAATCGATAAAAAAAGAAACAGTATTACTGATTGCGATGCAAGCAAACCAAACAAAAAGTCTCAATTTTTTACAGGTACTATGATATCAGAAAATAAAGATCTACAATGTAATGGAGAAATTGTAGATGATATGATAATCACCGATGCAGATTGTGAAAAATATATGTACGTTGACATTCAATTTACTTCATATTTTGAATATTCTATTTTTTGAAAACTCAAATGCCTTAAGCTTTAAAATATATCAATAGTTACATGGACAAACATATTGTTATTTACATTCGTATAGCAAGCTATAACATACACTATTACACTACTCATAGTCAGTATTCCTCCGTGAAATCTACTTTTTTTGTGACCGTCGCCACCTATTTTTCTATGGAAAAAATTGAATATATTCGAACCCCTACTATAAAACAGACGGTAAACTAATATATATATATATATATATATATATATATATATATATATATCAAAAGTGTCAGTTCCTAAATTAAAGTTAACATGCTTGTATATTCCTCAGTTAAAGAGGTTAGGAATTAACAGTTACATCTGTACTTTTGCCACACTTGACCGAGTTGGGATTTTGATTAGCGTTTTCTAACCTCCTAAATAAAATAATTTGCATAATTAACAACATCATAGTGTATAGATGTTCGAAAATAAACTTTGTCGTAATCTGTTATCACTCAGAGTGATTCTTCACATTACCTTTAACACCGAATCCCAGCTAATATTTTTGTAATTATTAATCTCTTTAAAAATTACGATAATTTCAAATTATTTAACCGCAACATCAAAAAAAAGGAGTAATTTAAAAGGATTCCTTTTGAAAAGCAATAAAATGTCAGATCAGTAAGGAAAACAGTTGAATGTGATTTTTCTATTCAGAGAAGTTCTAGAGTATATTGTTATCTTTTTAGTTTCACCGACTATATGAACCATACAATCAAAATGAGTTCATATAAATAAACTAATTTCAGATTTGGTGTTTCCTCTTATTGCAGACTGTCATAAGCTAGAAAATCGTTTGTGACCAGGAAGCTACAGACAACAGTTTTGTTCTTCAACTACTCATAAAACCATAGAAATGTGTTTCCACTCATTTATTTCAAGACCTTTCTAAAACTAACTGCTAGCATACCCTGTCTGCAAAATGTATGTTTATAAAAAATATACGTTTGGTACTATAATTATAAAATCACCCGACAAAAGGAAGCAAAGTGAAAATGGTTAACAATTAGAAATTTTCATAGGTACCAAAAATACATGCGGTTTACGTTTTACATTATGTCACTTTGATTTTTTGGTTGGGTTGTTTTCGTATTTTTTAAAACGTTATACTTTTTTAGTGAAGAGCTGGAACATGAAGGTTTGCTACAATTAAAAACATCTAATTCGAGCGGTAAAGTACGACGAGATTCCTCTCACACAGACCAGTTCACTAAAGAAGCTGACTGGGTTTTAGAAAAGTTAAAAACCTTAAAGAGTAGACATGAAGAAAGCCTTCGGCAAATAGCAGCAGATGTGTCCGCGGCCGCAAGAATCCAAGCTACTAAATTATCAAATACCGAAAATTCTGCGGTTCAACATTACTCTTTCATATATGATTCTTCTTATAATCATTATTATAACAAGTCAAGGTAAGTAGTGGAAACATATATTTCCTCCAATTCTTTCTTGTAAATGCCTGGTTGTGAAAATGTATTAACTTGACTAGAGAGAATTATAATTATAGAATTGTGTTGACTCGTTACAACTCTTCATTTTCTGCTAGAAATATTCAAATCAGGAGTATTAACTAAAATAAAATGCTGCTAGCTAAATCTTTTAATCCAATGTTATCTTGTTTCTACTGAGTATGCAAAAAAGTGTGTTTCCTGTTTGAATTATCTAACTAAAGAAACACAAATAATTTGCTCATACACTCAGAACTTGGATATGGGCCACACTAAGTGTAAGGGCTACTCATACTACTCGGTTGCCCAAACCGAGGTACGTGGGGCTGAGCTAGAACCTGGAACTTAGTATCTTGAAATTGGGCCTCTTCATCGATAAGCCACTGTTCCAGTTATCTAAATACTGGGTTCGAATGCTAAATTAATTTTTCAAATGTCATTGGGAACAACATCCAATCAAGTTTAACCACTAACCATCGTTTTATGTTAGTTACAGGAATATAATAATTTTAGGGATTATACATCTTTTTCGACCAATATCTGTAGACCATGTTTCCTTGTACTACAGAGTATACTACTTTAAGGGATTAAGCAAAATACATCTCTTAGATATGGTAAAACTAATATTATCCATCTAAATCATGGTTTACGCGACAAGCCTATTTGTTGCTGCCAGTATTGTTATACGCTGCAATTTATTCATGTCGTTTAATGACATTTTTATATGAGTTACTTGGTCAAAGAGACACTTTTACTCTTATGATTATAGAACTTTTTTAATGTTGTACCCTTTCTTTGTCTGAAAATATTTTAGCTTTCTATTCGAATACCTAGCCATATTTGATAGCTATAGCGAATATCAAACAAATAAAGGCGGCTAACTTAAAAACAAAAGGTACCGACTAAAAGGCTGAATCGGAAATATACACATTAATAATCAGTTTGATTCGCTACACTTTTTATTAGCACAGCAGAGAAGGGAAATGAAAAAATGATAGGAAATTTAAAACAAAGTACTTAGTAAGTAGCATTAGAAAATGTTTGTAGTTCATCAACTTTATTTTAACATCTTCTTATAACCCTGTTAGCTTAGAGTCCTAAACCTCAATTTTATTTACTGATCCCAGTTGAGAAGTCTCAAACGTAGTATTCCTTAAGTTCATAAACTGGTGTTACATTAAACATGTAATCTAGATCTCGTTAAACTTCATAACTACTCCTTCTCTGGCTAGCGTACCATTAAGGTCGGTATATGTAAATCATATCTGAGTTGTTTCAGTCGAATAAAAAAATTTACAAACTCACTGATTAATTCACCATTTTTACTTACATTGTTAGTAATCTGTGGGAAGATATCTGTTACCAAGCTCCTGTAACTTCCATATGACTCATACATTCAGTAATAGAATAAAAAGCTTTAGATGGTGAATTTTTGCCTACTCAACTCACTATTGTCTAACGATTATTCGATTCATACCAATGCCTACCACTACCTAGTTGTATCACCCAGAAATGCTCTACCATTTTAAATAAAAAAATACTCTGCATGATAGATTTTTGTTGCATAAATTACTTAATGAAACATGATACAGAGTTAAAATAGACTTAAATAGATGTGTTTTTGTCAGTAAAATTTTTTCAATGAAAGTTCCAATGACTTCTTACTGATCAAGATCTACGTCTCAAAAACTATTCTTCCTCATATCTGTATAGTTAATAATATATATTTATGAATAGAATGCCAAATAACAACCTATCTATGCAATAGTAGCTCTGACTGTTTAAACCATCATTGATAACACGAAATTAGCACACTTGATTGATCAATAATTTACTTTGTATTCAAAATATTAAAACGGTATTCTTTTTGGTGTTTAACTTACTAACCCATTACCTTAAAAGGTTTAACAATGGTTTAATTCTGCCATCGCTCAAAAGTCCAGTAGGCCCTTCAGTTCCTGTATACAAAAACTACAACTACCCACTTCCTCCAAATACTGAAAGTTCAAATGAACGTAATGGTAATCCAGGAGAGTGTAGCACTCGAATAGCTTTATCTAGCAGTGCATTTAATGTGATATTGTCAGCTATCGACGCTCTAAAGTCTTCTGGCCAGTTACCTAGTGATCTGAATCCAACGTTAAAGGAAAACAGTGTCAATGGACCTCAGATTAAAAATTCCAGTCAGCAAGTTATTAATAGAGATAATCAGCAATATACATCTGATCATAATCAAATATCAGGACCCAAAGAATCAGTACACTGTAAGTCAATGCTTGTTATTTTTTATCGTTAATTGCTAAGTTCGGTATGACTAACTGGACAAGTACGAAACGATGTACTGTGATTAATGCCGTTTGTTAATGCTAGTAATGTGACATTTGAACCTGGGACCTACTTGCTGAAAACTATGTGTTCTAATTAACAGGTCGCTGCTTCATTAACAAAATCTCAATCATTGAATTCCTAGTGTTTTTATTCGTAAGATCAATATACTATTAGAAGTATATACTTTCCTTCAAAATCATACGACTTCTCTATGAATATCCGTCCATGTATCCCGTAAAATTAACTCGTTTAACGAGGTCGTATTATGACTTAAATGATAAACACCAAACTACTAACTAGGTGAGTGACATTTTACATAAATATATCAATTTAACTTTTATTTTTAACACGAAATTATCTAAGTAGTATCTTATTGCGTATGAAGTATTAAATATTGCTACCACTAAGTTTTTTACAAATATCGATTTCATCTTTATCATGTCTACTCCTCAGGTGTTGTCTCAGTTTTACATGTTTTCAGTCAGTTTGGCCCCATATTTATTGCTCACTTCAATTTTTTTATCAGGTGTTTCAAAAGATTCGACAGCAAATAGTGCACCGTTGGCTACGAATATGGAGCATATGAACACATCTCATCCGGATGTCTCAAGACCTGTATATGCTCCAGTATCAATGAACAGAGAAGAACTAAATCATACTTCAGGTTCATCTGAAAGAGGTGCGGAGTTTCAAAAGAATCAAATAGTTTCAACATCATTTAATCGGCATACCCAAAACAACCCCCATTTAAAGTCATTTATTACCCCATATGAGCCACAGAATATGACGCACCAGCCAACATCAATTAACCTTACAAATGACGAAAAAATATTCGATGCATACACCATAGTTTCAAAACGCTGTGAACTTAAAAAAGCTCAAAAGCAGAACTGGTTAAAAACTCCAAGATATTTCAGGCGTGGAATGAAAGGTGAAGTTAACCAAGGTTCAACCACAAACTCCCAATACCACCACAATGTAGCTGGGAAACGGCTATCTGCTATTGCTGATTTCCTAGGTGTTAATGAACCGCCTACAAAAAGACGAGTGCCCTCATCAAATCAGATAGAACCACAACCCTCTAGTAATTTACCCTACCGTTCATATTCCTCAAATACCTTTCAGCAGCCTTCAACTCAAAATGATCATACATCTTTTTCTCAACCTGTGTGTCCTCCGACGTATGCTAATCAATCTGCTAACCATGAAATCCCCTCATTTCCGTTGAATCTAATGAATATAGCCAGATCATTCCCTTCCTATTCTAATCCTAATTCGTATCCACTCTCAAATCCTCATGCCAATGGGTCCTTGTGGCCTGTTCATATCAATCTTAATTCATCTGCACCAAGTGCCTCACAGTCATTACAATACTATAATTCTTCGTTTCTTCCTACATTTAAGTAACTTATTTCCTTTAATTGGAGCGTTTACCCAGTGATATTTGAATTGACTTACAACTTTGTATATATATATATATTAACCACTGAAAGTGTTATGTAGCCATGTACATAGAGTTTAATACATTTTTATCAGTTTGCATATTCTAATCAAAGTTCCAAAAAAATCTTGTAGTTAGTATTTTGAAATTCCCCGAAAATCCTTTCCATGAAATAAGATAGTCGGTAACAAATATTGTAACCCGAAGACTAGATTATGTAGAATAAAACCAGACAAACCGCTATTAATGTATGATATCTTGGGTTCATGTTTCGTCTTGTTTATAAAACAGTTCCAGTAACTCAACCAAAAGAATTTAGAAGCCTGTTTCTGAGGCGTCTCACATAAACCAAACCAGTTACCTTGATAGTATTGCAGAACATAATTGTACTATGCACATAGTTTGCGCTTGAATCGATGTTGTCTGCACTGAGAATAAAGTAATCCTTAGGTTTACTGAGTTATGTAAAGATTTGTGCCATGTTTTGGTTTAGCCGCCCCTAGCTTTCTTCCAACCTACTCCTGTACCACAAAATATAGCTCGACAAAGTAATCGGCGGTCCGGCATACGTAACACATATCTAACCACCTCAACTAATGAAGTTTCAATACTTCATTTATTGATCTGTCATCCTTACGTAGTACTCAATTCCTAACGACAGCATTGTTTACTGTATAGTCCAAAGATAAACAAGTAATGCTTCGGAGAAACAAAAACTAATAACCTATGAATATCTACTCGTACTGGTAATGTTTCACACTCGTAAGAAGAACGGAGAAAATTGCCGCGGAGTACACTCGTCCTCTAGTCAGCAAACGGATATCTCGCCTACGCCATAAGTGACGCAAGTTGGCAAAAGTCAGTCGAGCCTGATGTAGCGTGAATATTCCGTCCATACATCCACGTCCAGGTCATAACCAGCATGATTTTCTCGAGTCTGCTTTTCGCGAGCTGTAGTTAGGCGACGAGATATTATCGAGACCAATATCGTAGATACTATATTAGTTAGACTGATTCCTCTATGATTGTCACAAGAGTAGTTTTGTCCTTCTTTGTAGACGGGGACAATCAGTGATTGAGACCAGTCGGATGGGATTACGTCCAGTTCCCAGATTCTACCTAAGACCTCGGTCAATCTAACTGCTAAAACTGGACAACCATCATTAAAAATCTAAGGGGTAAACATGCTTCTGGCCCTCACTTCTTATAGATTTTTAAACTCATAAAAACCTGGTGACTTGTATCGAGATGACTTAAGATCGTCGGCAACCGAAGTGTGGCTGAGGACTAGTTTAATCGATCTCTGAAGTGTTCTGCCTATCGACCCGACCTCCTGGGTTGAGAGTGAATGATACAGCCATCCTTTTCTGAGATAGCTTCGCTAATGGATGGATTTCTAATACCGATTTCCTTGATAAGTCGGAAAAGTTGTCTACTGTTACTTATCGCCGCTGCCTTTTTCCATTGCTCTCTCACTTACTCTACCACCACTGTTCGCGACCATTGTGTAGGCTTCTTATCAGCCTGCGCTTGAGCCGACTTCGCTCTTCGTTATATTCTGAGCCAGGTGGGATGAGTTTCTAAGTGTGTATCATTTCGTTAGGTGTTACTGAAATCCACCGTTTCTCTCCAAGTTTATGGTTTACCTTACTAGTATATATCACTACATTTTCACAGCTTTTTAGATATCATTCTAAGCTGCCTCCAGGTGGGCATTGCTTACATGGGCGCTTAACTGCTTCTTGAGTCGTTCCTGAAATTTATTCTTAGCTATGCCATCATCAAGTAAAACACTAAGATGTTTCCTACGTCCAGTAAGGCACAGTCTCGCTTACTGTATTGAAGTTCGAGTTGCGGAATGTTAACACAGTGCACAAACGTATCATAAAGTGCTGATGGTTTTTGTCAGCTTAGTCCGTTTACACTGATCTAAACAGCCAATCTCACTGTTATACATTCTCAGTTTCAACTGTACTGCAATAAAATGACAGACACAGTTCAACCTAATGATTGCAGAACTGATAATGCTACTGTACTTCATCTTTGTTTTTTTTTTTTACCTAAAATATGTTAAAATAGACTTAATTTAGTTAATTTAAATAAAGCAATAATAAATAGCATTATCGAATGGCTCGAGGAGAATTACTTATCGATGATTTTTTTATGTATAAATAAGTGCATCGTTGACGTTTATGTTCAAATTGAACCTCTAAGTTATGTTAAACAGATTTCTTTTAACAACAGATACATAAGTGATTGGAATCGAAACCCATACTTTATAAAATTCAGTCATTTGCGGATTGCTTATGATAACATGGAAGTTGTAGACTTTGTTTACTGATACATTTGAAGTATACCATTGTAAAGCTGCATAAATTTGTTAGCTATAGTGTTAGTTGCTTTTAGAAACAGTGTAGATAAAGATTAACGCTATAACAAAGTAACAGCTATGATTGAACTGTAGGAAGATAAGGAACCAATGTAACTATATTCATGAAGATGAGAAGAGGAACTGTATACTTGGAAAATCTGAATCCTAAAGAATTAATGACGTACATATAAAAAACATTTGTAAAGGTTAATCCAGCTTTACATCTAGTTACAAAAAGTGTGATTATTATACAGACAATAATAATTAGTTATAGCAAAACAAGTAGTCAGCCAAGATCCATGGATACATCTTCACTGCTTGTGTCTGGAGATGTATTGGGTGCGTTAGCGGATTTTTCTCTATAATTAACATCCAACTGAAGGGCCGATTTCATATGCTTCAAAGTCTCACTTGGTACCAATTTAAAACGAATTTGGTTGGATCCTGGAAGACTTCCTGGTCCAGCAGAGGTCTTAAGATGTTCAGGAAGAGTATCTGGGATATCTGAAGGAATAGCAAACAAGATTAATATGAGCGGAATTCCTGAAGTTTTCTAGGTTCGAAATCTAGATTTTGAAAGTGTAGCAAACACATAAAGGTTAATTTTTTATCTTCATTTATAGTATACAATAATCCTGAACCCATAGCTGAATATTTGTCTTTAAAGGTACTAAAGATTTATTAAGCTCTTGGCATTCTGAATCACGTATAAGCGATGGTGATAACTATGATGTTCTATACTTGACGATCGTAACATCCTCAGGATTTTCATACAACGCTAGCATGCCAGCATGAAGATGGAATGAAACTTCAATTGAGATAATCTAAACGTCCAGACAAAAGTCGAGGTGTAAACAAGATAACGTACCAAATTTATTTTTTATGGTCAGCCATTAAAAAGTATGGGATTAGAAATGTATGGTGTTTCTCCAACGAACGTTACAGACCTAAAAATACCTCGAAGTCGAGCACTTATTGAGTTTGTCAATCGGCTCAATAATACTCTGGAACATCTTAGCCGGTACTAGGAGTAGTGTGATACTAATGTAGTTCCCACACTTACTAAGATCTTTCTTCGGTGTCCTCCTTTCCAGTTTGTCGGTACTTGTTCTTCCTCTCAAATCTTTCTGAAGAGAACACGGGTCGTCTTCGAAGTTACCCCGGCATTTGATTTGCTGTCGAGAGTTATTTTTTGTTCGCTGAATTTGATAGAATCTCGGAGGAAAAATTTTAAACTTCGGTAGTGCTGTTTTCCTAATAGTACGGCGCTTCTTTGGCGTCTATTTTAACTTGGTCACCACTAGGTGGTGATATGAAGCAATATCATCTACTTTCTTTGTCCTTACATCAGTGGTCCTTCTGAATCCTTTATTTATGCGGATGTGATTGTTCTGGTTTTCTGTAATGTAGTCAGATGAAACCATGTAGTTTTGCATGTTTGTAGGAGAAATGTTACTACCACCTAAAACAAGGTTGTTAAAAGCATGTATATTTTCGAGTTTTTCACCATTTCCGTCCTTTATTCATAGTCCATGTTGTTCTACAACACCTTGAAACTCGATGTTATCCATTCTGACCTCGAAGTCTAAGTTGCCCATCAGGATGTCCAGGTTTTTTCCTGAGAACTTCTCTGTGATAAACTGCAGCCGTTCACGAAGTTTATAGGTTTCACTTATCCTAAGCACCCCTTGCTTGTATTTCCTCACTTCGACAGCTACTTGAATGGTTCTCCAAGTGTTCTGCATTTTTCGGACATTCCATGTTTTTGTATTATTCATTACCCTGGTTGTCAGAAGAAACGGCAGCCTCATGAGTTTTGGAGATTCTTTGCCTTTACCATGAAGCATGATAACTCCTGTAAATGAAGAGACCTAAACTCCCGGGGCTGAGCTTAATTGGTTATATAATATTTTCCAGCTACTGCTTTTTTGGTAATGTTCTTTTTACGGGATGGAATTGCTACCTCCATGTACAATCCTCCTCCTATTGAGGGGTTTAGGATTGGTAGTAACTCTAGAAGGGCTCCAGGCTTCTCTATACAGCCTATTATTTACAAAAGAGACAGTCAATTCAAGGAATCGAAGCAAACAGTGTTTGCAACTGCTTTTTTTATGACTTTAACAGTGAACTCATGAAGACATGAAATTCAGTGACATGTGTTATCAGACATAGTTTAGAATTCAAAACAGTGGTTCCCTTTGATAAATTTGAATAGAGAAATAAGAAGACATATTTTGTGAGATAGTACCATTTCGTGCTTTCTCGTCAGTCACATACAAGCAACATGTTATTTGTGTAAATACAGTTTTGAAGATAAGGTCGGAAAAGTCCAACTTTATGTGTTCAAAAACAACTGTATGTCGACCTTTGTTTACCATGGTTCTAGTGAGTGAATGTCATGCTAAATAAGAAATTTTGACCTCATCTTGAAAACTGTATTTACACAAATAACATGTTGCTTGTATGTGACTGACAAGAAAGCACGAAATGGTACTATCTCACAAAATATGTCTTCTTATTTCTCTATTCAAACATAGTTTAGAATAACAACTAATAGCCATACAGATTTAATTTTCTGCCACATTTTTCATTAAAACAAGATGAAACTCCTGAGCGAAATAAATTATCCGTTTTTCTAAATGCATTGTATTTTTTAATATATATTATTGATGTCTTTTTACAAATTTATTATAAGACGTTTTTGTTTCGGCTACAATATTGTCATCCCATTTTATTTAGTCTCTTATATTATAGATATACATATCCCGATTCTAGATTCAACATTCATGATATAGATGAATTAGTTTTATTCAACAGACGATCGTGTATGTGAGTATAAATTTGTGTGCTTACACCATAATAGTGGATATCGACCTTCCTGAATGTGCATAATGTGGGAAATAAATAAAAGATAGTCAGGTCAATTCACCCTTACCTTTTCCAACTTTATGATTTGAAGCATAAATCCCTTTTACCGTTAATGCTTCAATACATACATTAAGCATTGTGGAAGCCACATTACTTGAAGTAGACCCACAGCTCGATGGTTGTACTCCAACGGATCGGTGAAGATAGTCTACTGCAACCTGTAGGTTACCATTGATTGCATGCAGCATTGCTAGACACGCTAATGTTGTTGGAGAATCAGGCACTAAGCGAAGTGCAAGTTCGTGCATAGCTATTGCCTGGCTGTAAAGTCTAGGATTCAGTTCAAAAGAAAAGATTTTATCATTTTTGTGAGAGTATGCTGAAATAAAAAGTTTTTCCAATTAGTCAGTTATATACTAAATTTATCAATACATTCAAAAATCCTGTGGATCACTTTTTCTCCGAATTATCTAAAAATAATGATAAATGAAACTCCAACTAATGATCAAAAATTGAAATGCCACGATGAAAAACATACGAACTTTGAACGATCGATTCAAGATAGATTTAAGCTTTTCTTTACTGATTCTCACTAAGAATGCTAACCACAGTTCTTATTACAACTAGGTGTTAGTTCTTCAACACTATTGGTATTGTAACAATGTTTCGTAAAATTTGATCATGATATCATTTATCAAGTAATTGTGATACAAGGTTGTCATGTATATAATTTAAATGAAATAAAACATCTGTGTCTTTATCGATATGTTTTACAGGCTATTTTTTGCATTTATATTAATATGACTATCAAACAAAATATTTTATTATTAAGCATAGTCGTCGTTATGAGCAAGTAATGTTTCCTTATATAATCAAATAACATTGAAACGACATTATATTATCAAGTACAGTTAAATTTGATTGAACAACAGTTAAATAGCTTAGACAAATATCAGTGAATATGGTTTATTAATATCTACTATATTGTAATGAAGTTTTTTGCTAACAAAAAATCTGTTAGAAACAAAGAAACGCTGAAATTCAAAACATCATTGATATAAAACTTTATTTACCCCATTTTCCTGTAAGAATGCGCTAAATTATTAACAAGGGGCTCCCAAAAAGGTGAAGGAACCTGTCCACTTAATTCACAAGCTCGTTCATAGGCTCGAACCAAAAATCTTGTAGCATCTACATATCTAAAAATTTGAATAAATCAAAGAGTATGGAGAAAAATTATCATTGAATTGTGATGAGGTGGCTAAATGCTTTTGGTACTGTTTTTATCAGTTCTAGATTTTTGGACTATGGATTGATCGGTCATAGAGACTCTGAATGACATGGCTCAAAACCGTTTGCAATAGTGCAGGTGCATTTATTCTTTGTGTTCTCTCAAATCCCAAACTTCTTAATTCCTCATCACTTTATCTTTTTATTTTTAAGTTTATTTCACTAGATTCTACTTTCTGAATAATATCTTCAAACCCTAATCTCTCCGATTACTGCTAATACCTTTACCACCCCTACTACTATGCGATATGAATTGACAACTACGTCTCTGTGCAAATGTGGTATGGCAACTTGAATCGATGTACCTGCGTACGTACGAAGTTCTACGTTGCTGTTGATTGATCGATCGATTGAACTACTTAATTCAACATCAGAATTCCCTGTTCAACTGCTTCAGTTTAGATAAATTAATTTCGATCAATAGCTCACTCCTAACAATAATTGTGACTCAAATTCAAGAATGTAAACTGGTAATAAATTAAATTTTGTTTTTAATTTATGTAAATATACATTTTTCTCTAAAAGACTTCATGAAGATACGCCATATACCAATATGCTGACTGTTCGTTGTACCAGTACGTGAATTTAGACAATTCAACAGATTTTAGGGAATAAATAAAAGTGAACCTAATCCCTTTTATTCATAATTACACCCTACAAGCTGAATAGCTAAAGTATGGACGACAATATTGGCATCAACTTTAAATAGAAGCTCAATATTTGGAACAAACACAAAACCACTCACCGTAACAAAATCTGGACTATCTACCTTTAGATTATTGAGTTGATAACTCACTACCACATGTCATATATCATTTAAATACTAAATACATTTTATTTTTAGTTTCATCATTACAATTTTATTAAGGCTTTAACCAGGAAAGGTAATTTAAATCAATTTGAGATGATGTTGAGCCCATAGGGCTTATCTCAGCCTTCGGACAAAATAATTAGTCTTTTCTGTCAGAGTCATTGTTCACATGCCTCTCGATATTGTCAACCGTTCGCTCATAACATAGGGTGTTCTCATTCGAGTGTGTGTGTGTGTGCAACTTGCTTCGCTTATCACATATCTAGCTTATTTTTGTGTGACCTTAAATAATTAGTCATGCTTCGTTACATAGAGTTGGCTCACTCATCTCCATATCGCTTCGCGTTGCTTGTACACGTTTCATTCTCACGTCTATCTGCTTAGATGAATGCATGAAATAAATTCATCCGCGAAACCGTACTTGGCTTTTTATTGCTGCCGCTGCACAAACAGTATTTGCCTAAACACTATGGTATACGGAAATTGAAAGGAAGATTTATTTCATCGCATACTCGACCATCTGCTCAAAAAGAAGTCAGATCGCGAGCCATCAAAGTAATGAGGCCTCTTCGAATCTTGCTCAGCCACTGAACGCCGTTTAAAGGTATCGGAGCAACTACCAAAGGATAATAACGGTTACAGACTCAAAATTCGTAACTATAAATTTTGAAAATCAGCAAGCAATATATTACACGATAATTAAAAAGGAATAAATGAACATATCCAACAACAACATACACTGACAACTGACGTTACAAACAGTTCGATTGAGTCACATTACTTTTCAATAAAAATCATCTTCCGGAGTTGGTAAACCATAAGGTTAGGAAGAAGCCGTGGATCTCAGTAGCATTCACCGAACTCATAGATGCTCGGAAACTCATCCCACCTGGCTCAGAATATAACGAAGAGCGAAGTCGGCTCAAGCGCTGGCTGATAAAAAGCCTACGCAGTGATCGCGAACAGTGGTGGTAGAGTAAGTGAGAGAGCAATGGAAAAAGGCAGCGGCGACAAGTAACGGTAGACAACTTTTCCGCCTAATCAAGGAAATCGGTATTAGAAATCCATCCATTAGCGAAGCTATCTCAGAAAAGGATGGTTGTATCATTCATTCTCAACCCAGGAGGTCGGGTCGATAGGCAGAACACTTCAGAGATCGATTAAACTAGTCCTCAGCCACACTTCGGTTGCCGACGATCTTAAGTCATCTCGATACAAGTCCTCCAGGTCTTTATGAGACCTCAAGGCAGTATTTGACTCAGTTGATCGTGAGGTTCTATGGCAGTGTTTGCCACTAACAGATGTAACTGAGAAGTACATTAACCTTGCACAGACTCTCTTCTCGAACACGTTTGGTCGAATGAGAGCTTATGGCGAACTGTCGTCGGGATTCTCTACTTCAAGTGGTGTCCTTCGGGGAGTTCCACTCTCTCCGTTCCTGTTTAACTTAGTCGTAGATATGCTTTTAGAAATAACATCTTAGTCTGAATTCTCAGGAGTAGATCTTCTACCAGGAGACAAGCTTTTTGACGTTGATTATACCGGAAGTAGTTCCAATCGGTGAAGCTGACAAAATGCAATCTTCGGACTACTATAAGCAACAATGCAAGTATGTTCGAGATACGATTCTCCCCACCGAAATGCAGAATGTTGCTTCACGATTAGCTTGCATCGGCACTTGAACTAGAGATAGGGAGTGAAGTAGTTGAGCGTGTCTACTACTTTACTTATCTCGGTTACTAATCAGTGCTGATGGCCTGGTGACTGACGAAAGCTCAGCACAGATACGGAAGGCTCGACTGACTTTCGTCAACTTGCGTCACTTATGGCGTAGGAGAGATATCCGTCTGCTAACCAAAGGACGAATCTACTGCGCAGAAGTTCGCTCCATCCTACTACATGGATGTAAAACACGATCGGTAAGAGTAGGAGATATTCGTAGTTTATTAGCATCCGTTTTATAGAAGTCCTCGAAGCATTGTTCGTGTTTATTGGGACAACCGAGTAAACAATGTTGTCGTTAGGAAACGAGTACTAGGTAGGGATGGCAAATCAGTTGATGAAGTATTGAAACTTCATCAGTTGAGGTGGTTGTGACATGTGTTACGTATGCTCAACCACCGATCGCCTTGACGAGCTTTGTTTTGTGGTGTGAAAGTAGATTGGAAGAAAGCTAGGGACAACCAGACCAAAACATGGGAGAAATTCATGAGGTCACTAACAAGTGAACTGATCCATGTTGGTAGGTGTAGACTACCTGATTAGGGTCTGCAAGATGATAGTCATCGATAGTTAGAGACCCTGAATGACATGGGTCGGAATCGTTTGCAATGGCACAGATGCATTCATTCATTGTATTCTCTCAAATTCTAATCTTCAGAATTCCTCAGCTTCTCTATCTTTCACTTTCTAAAGTTATCTCACTGAATTATACTTTTTGAGTAATATGTCCGAACTCTAATCTTCTTCATTACCAATAATACTTCTACTGTCTCTACCACTACGGGATCTGAAATGACAACTGAGTCTCTGTGCCAATGCGGTATGGCAACCTGAACAGGTGTATGTACGTACAAAGTTCTACGTTGTAACTGACTGACCGACTGACCTTTCGGAGTTCGGACATTCAATGCAACTCAAAAATGATAATTGCACATTTTATGCTTCGGTGAATATTCTACGTACACCTAGCATGGAAGAATTCTAAATCTCAAAACTAATCGGTTAGAAGCTTAAAAGGTTTAGTGAATTAATTGCCAACTAATGAATATGATCAAGTCATTTTATTTATAAGTGAATGAGGTGTTATCAAATATATTTTGAAGTGCATGATATTAAACAGAAATTTCAATGATAAGAAAGTGATCGAATGGCTTGAATTCACATGGTAAATACTTTTGTCAACTTAGCCGATTTAATGTATAACCTAATGGATAAGAAATGTGATACCCACAGCAAAATTTGAACAAAACTGTATTGATAAGTGGATAGATATCATGATTACTCAAAAGGTGACTTGGAAAACCTAAGACACTTTATTGAGAAAGAAGAAATTCATGTGATATACGTGGTTACTAAGTTAATAGAAGTAATACCAAAAACGTTACAGATAGAGTGATAGTGAATAGCATAATTCATACACAAAGTTTGCTTACTTTTGCGATTCAAAGGCCAATGTGCCTAATTCATGTAAAACAAAAGGATCACTTGGACTAATTAAATAAGCTTGGTTAAGAAATCGTTCAGCCAGATTACGATTATTGCTAGCACTGTATTCAATGCCAATATACATTATAGGAATATGCGAACTAAATCGTGTTAAAACAAAAAATAAAAGAACAAACAACAATAGTTACTGACATGAACAACTCAGATAGATTGAAACTTTTAATTCGTATGGAGGAAACTTTAATACAAACACACAATTAATAGTGCATTTGTTTTGTTTTTTGCTTCAATTATGATTAGGAAATTCTGCTCTAACTATTAAGCCATGACACTTTAGAACAACTACCAACTGTGTTTCGTAGTCTACAAAATGAAGATTTAAGGAAGGGTTGAGTTGCAATTACACTAACAACATACTGGAGTTCTGTGGCTGTATACATTTTACTAGGACTGAATTGCAAGCTTTTAAACTTTATCAGTAATTTTTTCAGTACATTCGACAACCAAATTTTTTGAATTGGTTAACTTATTCGGTCATAATCAACTCGTTTTATATCGTAACTTTTAGTTTCATATTCTATATCGTGAGTCCTAATACATGAAAAAATAAAATTGACAAAACACCACTAAAATCATATCATTTTATTAAAATCTGAACAAGTAAACATTAAAACTATAATATAACAAGCATAATAAGGCAGTGGTATTTTAAAATATCAGCAAAAAAGGCTAGTGGTTTGTTACAAAACAAAGGAATCGAATTTAATCCTAACATAAACAAAATGTTCATTTGTAATTATTTATCAAACTAAATAACTCAAAGAAAAGATGGTTTTTTGACTTATGAATAATCTCAACTTATTTTGACAAGTATCGTATCGTGATACGTCATAGTTCTGGAAATATAGAGTTCATAACAAGAACAAAAATCTAGCTGTTCATAAAGTTATATATCAGTGAAAGATCAAAGCTTCCAGAATGATGAGAAATTTCTGACCTTTGATTGAATGACTTATTTCAGTTCCACATAGTTTTGTACCACCGAGAGAAGACATCTTTTACAGGTATAGAATTATAAAGAGGATAGATATAAGTATGTTGATAACTTTATTGCTTCGAAATTCCGCAGATACATGAAAAGTAAAGGATTACAAATGATTACGTTTACGCTTATTAATTCCCATGTAGAAAATAAGCATAATATACTTACGATAGCCTCAAAAGTTTCTAATGTAACTGTAATAAAGATAGGATACGTATTATTCCCTACTAAACTGACTGTACTCGGATATCAGTGGAATTCAGAAAACATAACAGAGTCCTAACATTACAATAAACGATACTTCGGGAAATTAAATTACGTTTTGCTTACTCAGACCTGACTTGTTGTTGTAACTAAATGAAAAATGCTTAAATTCAACCTACCCTCGAATAACTTGAGCAGCCGTACAATAAGAAGCAATAGCTTGATCATGTTCACCATCCGCAGCAAATGCATGCCCAAGTGTAAGCCATATAGGACCATATCTTCTATCGAGTTGTGAAGCTTTCCTTAAAATTAAACAAAACATCCAAACAGTCATACATAAGCGACAATCAATCACAACACTATGATAAATCAATATATAGGCAACTACTTACACAAGATGTCGTCTTGCAAGTTCATTCTTTTTGATGCACAAGTAATAACAACCGACCGAAAACCAAGCAAGCTATGAAAAAAATAAACCTATTTCAAAAATCGAAACTAACTTACTGCACTTGACGGATACACATCCATTAGCCTATGAGACACTTTAAATAACTCTTCAAAAGTAAAACAATAAGTTTATGAAAAAACACATGCATACCATTTACTTTTTCTAATTCTTTTAATACAGAAATATGAATTGGTAAGCATGCAAGATTATATGGATCTGACTGCATTAATCTAAAGGAAGAAAAATATATTAGTCATGTACGACTGTTATTATTTGTTTTATACCTGGATGTGATATCGTAACATTCTTGAAATCTACAAACATCTAACATACGTCCAGCTTTATTAGCAATAACATCGGCATTATTGTTGAGTGAGTCGAATTCCTCAGGTGCCTTAGTTTCTAATACGGAATTCTTTTGAATAAAAATAAAAATGTTTTCAAAAACATTCACAAAAATAATTACCTTACTTAATTTGTCTTTATAAAGAAATTCAGTTAATTTGCTCATCAATGGGTTGAGATGATCAGTGAAATTCAATTCGGTTAGTAAAGCAGATTCTGTTACAAAATAAACGGAATCACAATTACGACTATTATTAACCACCTTCTTCCGAACTGATTGATTGGAAGTGCACAAGTTTTTCGAAAGCTTCATAACATGTTATATCAAGAAGTAAAGCTTCTTTATAAAACTGCATAGCTAAAGATCGATTTTCCATTAATTCATATAACTTTCCCTTCAACAATGCAATACTGCTATGCAGCTAAGAAATATCAAGATAGAATATTTAAAAAATATTAAAATACTTGTTCAGTAGTAAAACCATTTATCAAATTGTCAGACACAACATTGGATTGTCTTACGGAATCTTCATTATCAGAATTCTGAAAGTCTGTTGATATGGACAGTTGTTTAGACAAAGAACCAGCAACCAGTGATGTTATATTGGAAGTGAAATCGGTAGGTATACAGTCAGATTGTTCGAGGAGTTCAAGAGCCTTTGTGTATTCTGAGCAAGCGTAATAACATTGAGCAACAAAATAACGGCAAACAAGTGAATGCTAGATTGTTTTTAAAATGTCACGGTGAACGTACTTTTAATTCTTTACAATTCTGAATTAAAGATACTGCACGATGATATTGTCGACTATAATACAGTGCTTTGGCATAAAGTAATACATCTTCTGCACGGTCTAAATTAGACTTTTAATTAATTTGGTATTAATCCATACATTTTTCTAAACAAACAAGTTTGTCGGCCCAATAACATGCTGTTACGTACTGTTGCTGTAAAATTAACATTAAACGAAAAAACCACTCAGAAAATATCACTATGATAGTTATTTAAAATGGACTTATGATAATAAAATCAAAGTTGTATTATATTTAATAAAAAATATTATTTTCAATTTGATCGTCATTAGGATTTACTCTAATATAATGTAATATTTAAATGCATATCTGGAAGATACTAGACCAATCGAGGCAGTTAATGACTCAAAAATGAACATAGAATAGGTTATCTTTGACTTGTCGGTTTTCCTTCGCCAACAGTCCTAGGAGGAACTAGATCACATTGCTATCAGCCACCGATGGAGAGGCTCGTTCTCGAACACATGTTGAGATACATATCATGCTCTAGTACGAGCGCGTATTTGGCCACGTCTTACTGAAATTAGAAAAGACACTGCAAGAAAGCCTCTTAGAGTTTTAACTAATGATATGAAGGCTAAGACTATATTTTAGGAGCAACTAGAAAAACAATTAGGAAGCTATATAAGTGATGTCCACCCTGAGACAGTTTGGAGTGATATCCAAAAAGCTGTGGGAACAGAAGTAGTATATGCCAGAAAGTGAGACCAAAACGTTGGGGATAAGCAGTGGATTTCAGTAGCATCTAACAAACTGATATATGCTGAGAAACTCATCCTGTCTGGCTCTGAACGTGCCGAAGAGACGAGTAAGCTTAAACGCAGGCTGTTAAGAAGCCTATGCAATGATCGCTAAAAGCTGTCTACTGTTACCTATTGTCGTTGCTTTTTATATTTCTCTTGCTTTCGCCACCCACCACCGTTCGCGATCATTGTGTAGGCTTCTTATCAGCCTGAGCCTAAGCTTACTCCATTCTTCGTCCTGTTCAGATGAAGTGATCAATAACTAAAACTTCCTGCCCGAACAAGTGGTATCATATGCACTAGTGAACGCTTAGTAGCAGCTGGATCTTCACTGAAAAAAAACAAGGATTAACATACATCTACTGTTCTACTATCCTCATTGCCGAATACCACTACCCAAGTCTGAAAATATTTGCTCGTAAGTGCCAGTAATTTTAAGTAGGTGCTTCGAAATGTAATCGGCCACTTGAATTATCAATAAAATGACGATATTAATTCCGAGATTCATGAGTTTTTAATCGCCAATAGCTCTTAGCTATCTGTATGTGTTCACAGGGCTTTACTAACTAATTCGCTTACAAACGTCATTTATAATCCTCTTAAAACAACTAAAATTCGAAAGATATTACATTATAAAGACTAACCAATTCCATGCTCGATAAGACATGTTTTCGTAAAACATCTGACAGACACATAACGCAACCTCTAAAAAGAGCGGTCTGTCAATGTTAAATTTAAATCATCATTTCATGATAAAAAAAAGCTTTATGTAATTCTTGACTTTTGACTGAATGCATCAATTTTATTTTGATTGAGCTCTGGGTGTGTCCTCAAAATGAACAAACCCCTGTAGATAAGTTTGATTCACACCTTTTAAAAACGGTGTGTGAAGAAATCCAGTTTATCCACATTTCTCTTTATCAAATAGAAATCGAAAGTCGAATATTTTCCATCAGAGCCTTTCTCTGAAAGTGTTCAGAAACAAAAAAGATTAACTGTTTTCTGGGAACCATAAAAACAAGGCTCTCTTTAAAACGAGGGTAGTGAAAGTAAATTTTTATTCTAAAGATCTTGTTTTATCGTAAGTAGCTATTTCCGAGACAAGCATTGCTCTATAATTGGGGCGAAAAACCTTTTTACTGAGCCAGGCTAGGTGTAAATTGATTAGATATACCAGTTCGGTTTATATCTCCTATCGAAGAGTTTTAGATCCAAATCACTTTTATCCACCAGCATTATTCTTTTTCGTCAAAACTTGCTGCAAATGCATCCACTTTCAAAAAAAGGTCACCTAGTATGATCTACAGGGACTGAATGACTTTCAACGCTGGGTTGATCAGGGTAACCCTATGATATGTGGTAAAAGAAATGTCCTAATAATAGCTCGAGAAAATGGATTAACAGGTTTGTCCAAAGGCTAAGACGTGTTGTTTGGAATTGGTATCCTAGTGCACACTGCAAGGCCTTCAGATCCCACATTCCAATATAAAGCTGTTTTAACATTTTTCGAAGCCTTTAGAAACCCGAGATGAAAGAAATGGATTGCATGGTGAAGCTAGAATAGGCCAAAATAACTAGAACTAGCAACGAAAAGTTTGATTTCTAAGGAATTCAGTGAAAAAGCACCTCATTTTAATAATCAAATAAGACTAACCTAGCCAAATGATATATCATATTGATCACATTCTTACTTTGGAAAAGTGGTTGATGGACGTGGACATTTTTTATGACTCGTAAAGGAAAATAATGGCTTACAATGTAGAGCCAGCACTCTCAATGGCCTATTCGCATCTCAATTGATTCGTTTGACTTACATTTACATATAAATATTTGTTTTCAGGTATTTTCTGTTTCACGAGTGAACTAAAAAATCAGGATATCCAAAACACTGGAGCAGGAAGTGGTAGTGAAATGCTTTTACTAACAGAACGCAAGTGGTGAAATGAAAACATTCATTATTATAACTTATTCTAACAGTGTTTGTTTAACTGTACTTTTTGTTTATAACGCTTTTTAACGCGCAACTTTCTATTTGTGTTGTTGCAATCGTCAATGTTGCTGTTCTTTATTTCGCCCACTTTCTTGCTGTAATTTCACTGTTCTTCAGACACAACGAAATCACTAGCAAAAGTATTCTTTACCGTAGATAAATTTATTTTTACAGTGACGGACTAGCAATTAGTATTTAGTGGTGATCATAGTCAATCCCGACTCGAATCACTTACTAAAATGTTATTTAGTTGTCACTCTTCGTTCTAAGGATAAGAAAGTATAATTTCTGCATATAATGATAATTTTTCGTCAGTTCTCCCACTCTAGATTCAAACTGAAAAAATACAATACATTTCCGTACAGCCAATGATCTTTCTCCTATATAAATATTTATCCACTGGTAACTAACAGAGTACCAAATAGATGGTCCATGGGATTAATAGTCAGAATATCTATTCGGAAACTTCTCTCATGGCCTCCAGAGTGTAATTCTAGCACGCTGTTGAATGCTATCACGTGGTCAGTGGAGATGACGTACAGTGATGAATTCCATGCAGTCGATTTTCCCACAATGATTAGAAGTGTCGCGCTTTGTTTGATACACAATGGATCCTTATGGAATACTGTCTTCTCATCTCAGGTTGGGAGTCTTCAAAATCCTTCATTCGGTTCAACAACACTCTGTTTAATACGTTTTTCTTGTATTGCTAGTAGGGCAATACCTCTGTAGTTCTCACACATGTTGAGATCTCCCTTCATTGATATCTTGATTAGGCACACTTTCCTCCATTCTTTTGGTACTTCCAGATTCCTGCATATCTTTCTGAATAAAGTGTCAGGCACCCTTGAGGTTACTTTTCCTCCAATCACGGCAGATCCTCACCGACTAGCACAGGATATATTAGTTTTCTCTGAACGTAAGTTTTACAGTTTACTTGCTACATGTATCACTTCGTTTTCCTCACAGTCCTTAGACCTTCTCTCTCCATTCGGTTCGCGAAAAAGATGGCATTAGTTGGAGATCTGAGCAGATACTCGATGTTCTGCCTGTAGACTTGTATACGGCTCGACTTTGTATCTACCCAGGGAATTTTTCACACCACGGAACAGCGATTTTGTGTATATCATATAACGTCTCACGGCTATCTACGTACATGCGAACACTGCCCACGGTGTCAACTCAAATATAACATCGACAGGTCGCTCTCCCTTGAGAGTGATTTGCCTGGCAATATGTTTTCATACGAGTAGATTCGGCACGCAAATCTTTGCAACAGCCTTCGGAGGATCTTTTCACTTAATCTCTTGTCATTAAAAAACCTTCAAGGTTGGTGGACACAGTCAGAATTGATCGTCTCATACCAGCTCAACAGTGCCCTACCCGATAGATCGAGATTCGGTGATGAACTCGTCCATCTCACTAGAGGGATGCCTATTTCCCCTTCGTATCCCACGCTAGCCATTGTAGTCAATGGTATGTGCATGGCATTGGATGACGTTCATTTTAATGCCATATTTATTTGTTTTGAAGGATGCTTTAATGATGTTGGGTTCATGAAATTCTCATCCAATGAGTTTCACTTATGCTGAGAACTTCCAGGTTATATCTTTTCATTTCTGCAACAATGTTCGAACGTTCCATGTACTTAAAAGAATGGTTGCTGTGGTTGCCAGAAGGGATATTGACCTCGTGACTACCTAGGGAACTCGGCTTTCATCATTAGGCTTGATAACTCTTCTAAATGATAGCCTACTAACTGCCGGGGAAGAGTTAATATTGTTTACATGATAGTTTCTAGTTAGCGGTTTTTAGCGAGTTAGTTTTTAATGGAATGAGACCGCTAACCCCACGCTGAACCCCTTTCGTTATCCAGGCTTGTGACCGGCAGTAGCCCCAGAGGGGCTGCGGACGGAGTATCCAAGATAGCATCCCAAAAACATGAAAATGATGATCCCTATGCTATACCTCTTAAACTATTTACAATATAACTCAGTACAGCATGTTACCCTTACACCTGGTTGAATACACATATTATCCCCAAAATTAAATCAGGACCCAGAGTATATGTTGAAAATTTCTGACCCACGAACATGATCCCCCTAGAACCTAGATTGATGGAGAAAGTTATAAAGGCTGAGATAATACAACATTCACCTGATAAAAATCTCATCTCGACCTCCTATCATGGGTTTCTGACTCCCTGGTCTTGCGATACATTCCTACTAGACCATTTGGATGACATAACACAAAAAGAGACAAAGTGTTACTAATGTCACTCCTATTTATTTATTTTATTTATTTTTATTTATTTTATTAAACTGTTATGATCAGATGGCCTCCAATGTTTCATCTGCGTCACTCTATTACTTATAACTGAATAAAACGAATCACTACATTTCTCAAGATACGAAGTAAGGACATAAAAGACTGGTACGATAGAAGATTTATTCACCCAGTGATTGTCAATTGGAAAAAGTCATGCATATAAAAATTATCAAAAAATCGAATGCTGCATGTCAAGCTGAACATAGTCCATGTCAATTCAATGCAAAGTACATCATGTTGGATAAAAATCTCTGAAATGAATCAAATGCTAAACAGAACAAAATATCACACTGAAAATAAAACAAATATTATACTGAGTAATCATCATACCGAATACAAACCTAAGAAATGATAAACAAATGACACAATCAGTGAAAAAACGCAATCACGCCTTTTTATCCCGTCATATCATAGATATAACTCCGCCTGTAGAGCCTTTGGGACTACTATCGGTCCCCAGCCCGGATAAAGGAGGAGGGGTTGGGCATGGGGTTGGCGACGCCGTCTCACCAGAAAAACGGTAACCAGAAAAAAATAAATCAAACCATTTTAACTCTACCCTGGTAGTTGGAAGAAGAATTATGACGTCTCGTGATGAAAGCCGAGTTCCCTCGGAAGTCACGAGGCCGATGCTTCTTCTCACATACAGAGCAACCACTCTTTTAGGCAAATGGAACGTTCGAACTTTGTGGGAGACTGAAAGACTATTTTACATTGCTGCAGAGGTGAGAAGATACAACCCGGAGGTGCTTGGAGTCAGCGAAACGCATTGGACACAGATAGGACAACTGAGACTAGCTTCAGGGAACCTGCTGTTATACTCAGGAAAATGCTTCACACACAGGGAGTTGCACTGATGCTGTCCAAACAAGCACAAGAGGCACTCATATGATGGAAATCTTATAGCCTCAGAATCATCCAAGCATCCTTCAAAACAAAGAAAGAGGACATCACACTGAACGTCATCCTACCAATGACTACAATGATGACGTTAAAGATCAGTTCTACGAGAGGCTGCAGTCAATCGTCGACAGATGCTCACCAGAGAATTTGACCATTCTGATGGGAGACCTAAATGCAAACGTTGGCATGGATAACACTGGATACGAAGACATTATGGAACGATATGGACTGGGAGAAAGGAACGAAAATGGTGAGAGGTTTGCAAACCTATGTGCCTTCAACAAACTGGTCATCGGTGGCACAATATTCCCGCACAAACGCATACACAAAGCCGCATGGATTTGGCTGGACTACACTACTCAAAACCAAATTGACCATATCTGTATCAACAAAACGTTCAGAAGGACTATGGAGGGTGTGAGAACCAAGAGAGGAGCTGACAAAGCCTCAGATCGCCGATTGCTGGTCGCCAAAATGAAACTGAAACTAAATAAGCACTGGACAACGGGGCGGACAACATCACAAAATTCTAATATCGCTTCACTTCAGAATACTAGACAGCTCAAGCAATTCAAGATAGCCCTCCGCAACAAGTTCGAGTCTTTTAACGATCTACTAGAGGGAAAAGAAACAACCATGGAGAACAATTGGAAAGGGATCAAAGAGGCAATCACTTCAACATGTCAGGAGGTTCTGGGTCACAAGAAGTACCATCACAAGGAATGGATGCCTGTTGGTACTCTTGCAAAAATCGAAGAAAGGATGAACGACAGGGCAGCAATCAATGTCAGCCGAACAAGAGCAGAGAAAGTTAAGGCACAAGGTGAATACACAGAAGCCAACAGGGAAGTGAAGAAGAGCATCAGAGTTGACAAACGAAAGTATGTGGAGGATGTAGCAATGACGGTGGAAAAGGCTGCAACAAGAGGAAACATGAGACAATTGTATGAAACAACAAAGAAGCTCGCCGGAAACTATCGTAAACCAGAACGACCAGTGAAAAGGAAGGAAGGCAAAGTAATCAGCAACACTGAAGAACATCGATGTAGGTGGGTAGAGCACTTTAAGGAACTTTTGAATCGGCCAGCTCCACTGAACACACCCAAAATCGAGGCAGAATCGACGGACCTACCAATCAATTTCGGCCCACCAACAATTAAAGAGATTAGTATGGTAATCAGACAAATCGAGAGCGGCAAATCAGCAGGACCAGACAACATTCCAACAGAGGCAATGAAAGCATACGTGGAAGCAACTGCAAAAATACTTCACATTCTCTTCAACGAGATTTGGGATGAGGAACAAGTAACAGCAGGTTGGAAAGAACGATACCTGATCAAAATGCCAAAGGAAGGCGATCTGAGTAAGTGTGAGAACTACAGAGGCATCACTGTTCTCTCAATACCAGGCAAAGTCTTCAACAGCGTGCTGTTAAACATACTTCGTAGACGCCTAACTTCGAAACCAACAGGCTGGATTTCGTAAGGATCGATCGTGTGCCGACCAAATCGCAACATTACGGATCATCATGGAATAATCAACTGAATGGAACTCACCACTCTACATCAACTTCATCGACTACGAGAAGGCATTCGATAGCGGGGACAGGGTAACTCTATGGAATCTTCATCAACACTATGGGGTGTCTGAGAAGATTGTCGACAGCACGCGGGATTCTTATGATGGGTTAAACTGCAAATTCGTGCACGGAGGACATGCAAAAACGAATGCAAGAGAAGAAAACCAGAAGCAGTATCAGCACCAGCAAATTTTTCTCATTTTCAATGCGCTAACATCTGGAGCATCATAGATATCGATGAATGCTGACAATATAAAAAGACCGGATAGTCTACAAATAGCTACGAAATGAAAGTTATCGATTAGTACATAAGGTATTGGTTTAAATTTCAGCTTCCATTAATTCCAGTAGTAGAGAGTATCAGCTTAGTTTATTTATTAATTTAGACACTGCAAGATCGATCTTACATAAAAATGCCTTCAGTCCTACAGTATATAACATCAGTTGTAGTGATGAACCTCACTTGTTTAATCGATTACTAAATGTCGACTTTCGACTCAAACCTAATGAACTCTTTTCATACTCAGATAACGCGGAAAAGTGATATCGGAAATCCAACTGAAGGGAAATGGTATTGAAAACACAGGGGAATGCGTCACCTGGGAGCTTATTCGTGTCAGTTTTCTGTTCCTTGGATTGCTTCCACGTGTTGCGAACAGCATCCAGTTTAAAAACCACTGAATTGCTTTCTTCTATACTTTGAAAACTAACGACCATTCATTTCTTTTTGCATGTCATGAATGACAGAGTTTTCACCAACAAATTACATCGAACATTGACGACATTGATTGCGAACTGGAGCATTACAATTATTACTGCAACTCAGTGGCCAGGTTAATTTGTTTTCTTAGTATTGAGTGAGAAAAGGCAAAGTCTTGACAGTAGAATTGTACGAATGGGGTAAAGATGAGTGAAGTACACAATATAATCATAACTGAGTCGATCAAGCAATGTTGGTTATCATCGACCACTATGAAATTCGCATCCATTGATCAGCCTGTTGGGGATGTTAGATCCCCAGAACTCGCTTGATAAATATTTTTATTTTGGATTTATTTCGTGGACCGATCAGTTGACCTTGAGATTGTAGCATCTCATCATTCATTCAATGTGCTTTTGTTTGAACTAATCGATAACTGTATTGACCATAATTTTGTATTTGATTAATTCGATTACAGTATCGATTATCCTATATATATATTTTTATTGTGTGCTGGCTGTTGTTGCAGAATACAATTTCTACGCTTATGGAGACTTCTGTTTTGCAGTTTCGGATTCAAGGTAGCATACCTGGACGCTGGTAATTGTCTCGTCCATGTTTACCGACTAAGGTGAACTGGAAATAGCTTCAAGCGTACCAAGTGGCGAGCGTAACACAGCCTGGTACATGATTTAGTTAAAAACAAATGCTTATCGAGCGCCAATGTATATGATCTATCTAAATGGAAGACGTCTATTTCAGTTGAACGGGAGTAATACCATATTCTAGTTCACATCGAAATCACAGCTACCAGTTAGTAGCTGACCTGGCTTATCCTATTGTGACGTAAAGCTAATCAGCTTCTCAGGTGACCGGCTGAATAGACGTTATTTCAATGGGCGGCAGTATATTCTAATATGAACGGATCATTGAAGGACAAGGTAGAGCTACTACCGCTTGAATCTCCCGATTGTGTATAATAAGATAATTAGCGTGAGTATTCGTCGATCTTGATGATTTTCAACAAACAATGCAAAAGGCAGCGATTTTTCATCTTACATAAAATCGTTCAGCATAGTAGACGATTCTTCTAGGGATCAATAAAGTTTCAAACGCATTACCGAACACCTGGAACCGTACCGAAAGAACAAGAATCGAGAGCGAAGAAATCAAATTGGTTCACACTAGCTCGTGAAAAAGATGGATATGTGATATAATAATCCTACCAATTGGTTAATGAGGAAACCAGGTTCAAGGATTAAACATACTCTCTCCTCCAAGAAAATCCGACCTTAATTAAGCCCAGGGTTTTCAAGATTTTCTTAACCAACCAAAAGGCCACACGGAAAATTTAGCTTTTCCATAGCACACATCTGTATGTCGTCATTCTTTGTGTCAGTTAGTCATTTGAAGTAATAGCCACCAATTCTGAGAATATGTTACAAAACAGGAAAATTACTTGGGTCTTAGAGATTTAGATTGCTTCTTGCAACTGAACTTACTAAACGTGTTTAATCATTTACATAGATCTGATTCTGTCAGAAATGCAGGATATATTAAACCTAAAATCAGCTACTAATAACCTAAACAGCTACAGTAGTATGATGTAAACAAATATGGTACAGAGGGGATACAAAACCCGCATGCACGAAAATTTCCAGTATTCCTCCAAGGAGATTTGAGTTTTCTTTCAAACGAGATGTGATCCCAATCACTCTGTCCTAGCAATATGGAGACATTGAGGTCTATCAGACGTGAATAGGATTCAGTTTTGCTTCAAAAAGGCCATACATCTGTTGAGGAGTGGGCAGTTAAAAATAGTTAAAACTAACCTATTCTAAATGTGAATCTATGGACATTCTGCCCAACGTGATAAGAACGAATTATACTCTCAACGGGACTTCGCTCCTTTATTCTTCCTCAGAGCCAAATCTCAGTTTAATAACCACTGAAAGCCTAGACACCATTTCGAACCATAAGGGTTAACAGCCATGGCTAACGCAAGTCTTCACTTTGTACAAAGAAAACTCGGCACAGTCATCCTAGAATTACTGTTTAAAACATGCAAACCCACATCTTGAAGTTCACGATGTCGAAGCATCCCTTCTCCTTAGAAGAGACATAAATCTCCTGGATGGGGTTATGGAACAAACTGTACGAAGACAAGCTCCAGCACTTGGTATTATTCCCTCTGAGTGATGCGAGAAATAATGGTTCACAGTATATTAAGTACGCCAAATTATCCGAACGTAAGCACCTTGCCGAAGCGTTACGACCACACCCCTCAAGGTAATCCTCAAAAAGTTGAGCATCAATGAGTAAAAACCCTAGTTTTTGCACTCTTTTTCTCATTAAGAGTTGTTTCAGCTTGGAGCGCTCTCTCAGCCGAGGTGACTATAGCCGTCTAATTGGATAGCTTTAAAAAGAGACTTGGTAATCACGTACTCACAAATGGATTATCATCTTTCTCTTGGACAAGCTGTTCATGATGCATATCTTGAGACCTGCTAGTTGTTATCATTGCCATCTCCTCAGATCACTCAATTGATCTATCTAGCGTGTTATCTCTGTTTCCTCTCCCTTGCTTACGTTTCGGTCCTCTCTCACAATCTTCACTAGCAATCAACAAACTAAATTCATCTATATATTACTCAGTTCTGAAATTTTATTCATATTAGCATTAGAATTTTATCCTTATTATCCTTATTACTCTCCACATTGCAACTAACTGATCTCCGGTCTGGTAATGTGACGGACGCTGGTATCCAGAAACCGTACTGCCCTGAAACAAACGTTTTCATTAAAATCTCGAGACATACAAACTCACAACCAACTGCCAACTGACTAGAATTAGACAATCGAGTGGCTAGACCTCCATCCATTTTACATTACAGAACACCTGGAACCCTCTCGAAGGAACAAGGATCGAGCGCAAAGAAATCAACTGGTTTACACTAGTTCGTGAAAAAGACATTGGATATTGGATACTGAAATCCTTTGCAACTTTTTGGTCAGCGGTGTTCAAATATTGTAAAGAAGGATGAAGCTTTTGGACCAAGTTGGTTTGGAGGGTTTGAGTTCACAATTGAGTAATGGTAGTAAGAGGTACAAAATCGATGCCAGGTTCGTTAGATTTAGTCCATTTGACTGTCTAATCCCATATGTTTAGTCCGTCTATGTATATTTCCTCCCCAATTGTTGCCAATGTTTTTTCTAAATAGTATAAAGACATTTGTATATTACATATTCACACCCTTTTTCGTTTCATGTAATATTTTGGCGTTTTCGGTTTCCATCCTTCATTGTATAGGACTTCGGGTAATCTCTTGAAATCGGTTGTGAAGTAACCTAGGTGCGAAAAAGTGGATCAACGACTCAGTAAGCACATAGAATTCGTATATACCTATTGGTGAAAGCAGTCAGTAATAATCACAAGCGTAAGACTACGGCAATCTGATATTGGAAAGTAGGTGATATCAGATTCTGATGTGTATTGAAGACAGAAGGCCTACGGGCTACGTTGATCGTTTGCCAGTAAGCTCCCTAGTGTCTAGTCTTCTCTTGAACGATTCAATAGAAGGTACAGACACATTCGGCTAACAGGTTCTAAGAGTTGATGATGGTGTGAAAATCTGTAATTCACGGGTGTTCTTCGCTTTTGCACTCCCTTGTTATATCCTTTAAGTCATATTGATCTATTAAACACAGAGGATACCAGGTCCAAAATCACTTCGTGGTATTATATACATTTAAATTAGATCACCTTTCAATCTACGATATGACAGACTAACGAGTTCTAACTTTCTAAACCGCTGTGTATGAAAAACTTTGGACTTCTGGAATTGTACAGGTAGCTTCCGGCTGTGCTTCTTCCGAGATATCCGAGTCACCTTTCTAACAGGGGTGTGCAGCCTCGTCTAGATCTTCTAAGGTTGTGTTTACCGTCGCGAACATACTGGTATTCACCTTGGTAAATGTCTGTCTTAAAGGTCATGAGGTCCTGAACCCCTTACCTACAAGTGCATGAGATTGAGCCGTGGTCTTAAAATCATGGTTTACTAATACCCCAAGATCATCGACTCTTCCCCCATGCTGTACCTATTTGTCTTTGTACCCTCAATGTTCACATATGACCGTATTGATAAGTATCAGCTATGTTTTAGACCAGCTAGCGAGGACGTCTCAGTTATCTTGAAGTACACTTGCATTTGCATTGCTTATTATTTCTCATCAAATTTTTACATCAGCATTAAGTAGTCGTGGCGATCTGATGTTTGTAGGGAGTTCATTTTTATATGGTATTAAAAGTAAAGTACCTAGAACAGACCCTTACGGTACTCCACTAAGTATGGGTTCCCAGAAGGAGCATTTAGGATTAATCCTCACTTTCTGTCTTCTACCTACCAAGAAATCCTTGGTCAACTTATGAAAAGGTTCGGTAATTCCTATATTTCCCAACTTTAAGAGGAGTCTATTGTTTCTCACCCTATCAAATGCTGTGCTGAAGTTCATACAGACAATATCCACTGATTTTTAATTATCTAGTGACTCTGCCAATCTCTTGCCATAATCAGGTTTGTTGTGCATGGTAATCCTTTCCTGAAATCATATCGTTCACTGTCTAATAAGTTATTTTCCATGAAGGTCATTGTGACCTTTTTGATTATTCTCTCTGATATTTTAACTACAATACTGGCGAAACTGACCATCTGCAGTTCGGTGGAAATTTTCTTGATCCTGTGTAGTAAATTGGAGAAACAGTTGCATCCTTCCAGTCTGTAGGTAACTCTGGTAAAGTGACGTTTTGAATATCGTGGTTAACTGGGCAGCAATGTGTTATACGATTTGTCTCAGAATATTTAGCTGTGGTCTATCCGTTCCTGCTGATTTCTCCATATCTAAAGTGCCTAGGACCTTTAGTATGTCGTCTTGATCAAAGTCCACAGTGAGTAGCCGATTTTGGTGGTTACTAGTTCTTCATCTAAAAGAGGCTACTGAGTAAAAACTCCCGAAATAGTCTACCATGGCTTCTGCTTTATCTTGGTCTTCCTCTATCACTTGAGATGTACTTCCCTCCGTAATAAGACTGGGAATCCAATAATTCATTCTTGTCCTGAAATCGATGTACGAGAAGTCTCTTCAGTTGCTTGATTAGAGATTGTACCAACTGCTTCTCATATTTTTGTTGAGCTGCTCAGGTTATGCCCATACACTTATTACAGATCAATTTGTAACGTCCTATTGCATTTATTTTGCCAAAGTTGGTGGCGACTTCCTGACATCATAAGGTTTTGAATGCGGTACACGTGCTCATAACAAGTTGACCGATCAATTTTCGAGACATTTTCTGCTCTACTGGTCTTGTTTAGGCAGTAGCTCGAAGAAATCTATGTTCACGAATTCGACTATAGTGATCATTCATCGTATTTGATACACTACATAATACATCTAATTTCAAAATCCGCTAATCCTTTATATAACATTTTTATTTTTGTCTATACTTGTTGTTCTTGTCCCGACCGATTTAAAATGATCCACATTTGTCCTGGTTTCTACACTCATTGCAAAATTTAGTCTGTATATTTGTTTTTCTGCCGTATAAAATTACAGCAAACCGTGTCTGTGTTACTCAAGCCTTCAAAAAATGTATTGCAAAGCTTAGTTATACGATTGATGAACGATGATCGTATGGTTTTGTTTAATATTTTATTACTGCTAGCAAGTACTTCTTGTTTATGAGTTTGGTAACTACATAAGAGTTCAATTAATTCGTAACTCATAGATAATGCTGGTTAAAAATGTACAATCACAAATAACAATTATAACCTATATTCTTGTTGCTTTGATAAACGAGCTTACATTTTTTCCTACACCCCCTAATACCTCTGTTCTCTCCACGACTAACTCTACTCACATTCCCTTATCTGACTGCACAGCTAATGCAAACAATGTCAGTTCACAAAACGTCATTCCTGGTCTCTTGAAACCTCGTTCTAGTCTACATGTTGGAGCATTTAATGTACGGACATTGTGTCAAATAGGGCAATAGGCATCATTAGCTAGGACATCAGAATCTCTACGTATGTATCACTGATGTATGCTGCGTCTCGGAAACGCGCATACAGGATCCTAGTAAAATTATGAATCTGATATCACCTTGTCAAAATAAAGAAGCAGCTCGATTTACTCTTCGTGTCTCTGGAAGCCCTGATGCTGCTTCCAGGGGTCTTGCTGGCGTAGGCATAGCATTGAGTCGTAGGGCAGAACAATCTCTCCTTGACTGGGTCCCAGTAGATAGTCGATTGTGCGCTGTCCGACTAAACGGGACAGTAAGGACTCGGAAAGATGGGGCACCCGTCGTTGCCTCTTCGTCGTATCTGCCTATGCCTCCACTGATTGCAGTTCAAACGAGGTGAAAGATGAGTTTTACAGAAGGCCTCCTCCAAAAAGCTAGGCGCTCTGATATAGTAATAATGGCTGGTGGCTTTAATGCTCAAGTAGGTATACTAAGTGAAAATGAAAGACACCTAGGTGGATTTTATGGTGCGTGGCTCTGAGTGCGATGAGGAGCGGATTCAAACCAGTCTGGTTTTCGACCTGGACGTGGTTGTATAGACCACATTTTCACACTACGACAGGTCCTGGAACACAGACACACATTTAGGCGTCCTACAATAGTTGTTTTCCTGGACCTTAAGGCGGCATTTGACTCAGTGGATCGTGAGGTTCTATGGCAGTGTCTATCATTGAAAGGTGTACCAAAGAAGTACATTAACCTCATACAAGCTCTCTACTCGGAAACCACTGGTCGAGTGTGAGGTTATGGCGAACTGTCACCAGAATTATTTACTTCAAGTGGTATCCGTCAGGGATGTCCACACTCTCCATTCTTGTTTAATTTTATCATAGACATCCTCCTAGAAATAACCTAATCCTCGTCTGAATTTTCAGGAGTAGACCTTTTACCAGGTGGCTCGCTTATTGACTTAGAATATGCCGATGACATTGTCCTACTTGGTGAAGACGCTGACAAAATTCAGAGTCTTCTGACTATCATAAGCAACAATGCACGCATGTTCGGGATGCGGTTTTCCCCCTCGAAATGCAAAATGTTGCTTCAAGACTGGGTTGCATCGGCACCTGAACTAGTGATAGGGAGTGAAGTAGTCGAGCGTGTAGACCGCTTCACTTATCTTGGGAGTCTCATCAGTGCCGATGGCCTGATGACTGACGAAATCTCAGCTCGGATACAGAAGGCTCGACTGGCGTTTGCCAACCTGCGTCACTTATGGCGTGGGCGAGATATCCGTTTGCTGAATAAAGGACGAGTGTACTGCGCAGTAGTTCGCTCCGTCCTACTTTATGGCTGTGAAACATGGCCAGTGAGAGTATAAGATATTTGTCGGTTATTGGTTTTCGATCATAGATATCTTCGAATCATTGCTCGTATATCGTGGGACACCCGAGTGAGCAACGCTGTTTATTAGGAGATGGGTGCTAGGTAAGAATGGCAGGTCAATAGGTGAAGTGGTGAAACTTCATCAGTTGAGGTGGTTGGGACATGTGCTGCGTATGCCTAATCACCGACTCTCTCGACGAGCTTTGTTTTGTAGTGTAGGAATAGGTTGGAAGAAAGTTAGGGGCGGCCAAACCAAAACATGGCAGAAATCCATGAAGTCATTGACGAGTGGACTTAGCCATGTCGGTAGTTGTCGACTACCTGGTTGGGGTCCGCGAGATGATAATAATCGATGGTTAGAGACTTTGAATGACATGGCTCAAAATCGTTTGCAATGGCGCCGGTGCATTTATTCTCTGTGTTCTCTCAAATCCTAATCTTCTCGATTCCTCAACCCCTCTAGTTTTGACTTTCTAAACTTTTCTCACTGAATCATACTTCTTGAATAATATCTTCTAATCCTAACCTCTCCGATTACTTCTAATACCTTTACTACCTCTTCTACTATTGGATTTCAATTGACAATTATATCTCTGTGCTGATGTGGTATGGCAACATGAACTGATGTACTTACGTACAAAGTTCTACGTTGCATCTGACTGACTGAACCATGTGTTTACAAGTTCGACTTCGACCTGTACAGTTACACTGAAAACTTTATCTAGTTTGCTTCTGCAATAATTTGTCATCTCCTCTTCGTGAGTTTTAACCCATCAGTATGCAGACGTGTTTGCAGTTCATGGATCCTAATTGTTATTTTTTGTTCTAGCCCTATCCTTATGAATCAAGTTTGAAAACAGTTACACAACTTCTATGTTTACTCTCCAATTTTGCATACCAAAAGTTGTTATACCTCTGATATTTTATTTTAATTTGCTCTCACAGGTTGGAAAGCTATTCGTGCAAAATGGTTTCAGAAGAAAAACGTCAATTTAAGGAACTAGTTTCTCGTTTAAATAGTGATGAAAATCAAGAATCTCCTGCCCTTTACCTTGGATCTTCTCAAACTCTACGGGATTTGTATGAGATGACTGGACAAGTGGTCGATCCCGAAACAATTCGAATGAGTATCATCCAGGATCAGTCACCAAGGGTCACTTATCTTTTTTGTAAAGCTTTTAATTACTCTTTATCATCATACCAATTCAATAAGTTCTCATTAGTGTTTTCTCTAAGGTTGCTGCACTTATCTTGATCACTAGTAGGATTCAACAAAGTACTTGACTTCAGTCTTATGCTAAATGCTACAATTTGCCAGATTATTTCTGTCCAACTTGTTCCTTATTTAGATGCATCTGTTTATTCAGAATCTGCTTTTCATTTCAGATTCTTATAGCCAACGCAAACACCACTTATGTACAGCAATAATGTTACTCTAGTAGGTATTTACGCTACGGTAGAAATCTGAGAAACAAGAAAATGTTTCATTTTCTATTCATGTGGGATTTGATTCTCATAGATTTGTTTTGACCCGATACTCGTCGGCTTTAAGTATCTCTCATCACTTAAAGATGTATTAATGCTTGTGATTACCAATTTTGTTAGTGTTCTTGGTTATATTCTACCCGTCTGTTGGCTGGTACCTTGGCGTGGTAGACGGGCTTGTGTGTTGCAATGATCCTGAGGGCTATACCGACCGAGGTTCAACCATGTCGGGAAGGCCGAAGGTGAGCGACGAGACGAAATCCAGCTACTGTTTAATTCCTATTTAAATATTAGATCCTTGAAAACTGAAAAATCAGCAAATTCAATGCAAATCAGAAGTCACTGCTTCGAAATTCATCTTGAACTACTCATATGAATGATTAATAGTTTCGATTTGGTGTTAAGGCGTAATTGTGACTCATTGCAAGTTCACAGGTTTATTTCTTCATTATGCTCGGAACTTAATAGTATCTTTTATCTTGGATATATTACTGATTCGAACTCTCAAATACTAACTTACGTATAACAGCAAGGAAATTGTTGAAATATCGGTCGATTCAGTCTGCTAAATATTAATTAGAAGTGAGCATAATACATATTTGTCTGTAAAGCAATTTCTTAGACGTGTTACTTGTTTATATCTCTTGATTATTCAGTGATCTATAGTGCCATTGTTTTTGAGATTGTTTACAGTGTTTATATTTATTTTAGTTTTTTGATTCCTGATTAATTTGACAGAATTCTTCCAGCTTATCCCCTCCCAGAAATTTGTGCAGTGGAAGGAAACGTATTCGGTCTGAAACATCTGTGTGTTTGAATGATAGTACTTCAGAATCGCCATCTCCAAAGTTTTCAGCCTCAGCACTCTCAACCAAAGATTTATTTTGTTTGATGAGCACATTAAATAACTGTTTCGGCCCTGCCTATGATTTCCTGACTGCTAGGAGTGACGAATTTTGTTTAGAACCTGAACTCTGGGTAAGTTTTTAGTGAGATTCATTTTAACGTGCAATCCATGACATCATAATTCCAACGGGTTCTGTAAATCTTCCTATTTGTTTTATGTGGTAAGGGATGTACTGCGTTTCCTTGAATCGTTTGAACACTGTAGAACGAGGTTCTTCACCAAGAAATTTCTTGTTTTAATGTTTCGCTGACAAACAATGTCAGTAGGTGAAAACATTACTTACAGTTATTCATATTGGGTCCTATGTATGAATGTTAACTGGTGTGCTATTGATTTAACACCGTACTTTAGGATTTTGTTACCTTTAGCCATGAAAATTCGGTTATTTTGCTTGTTTGAAATACTGGAGTTGTGAAGTAAAGCATAAAATATGTAATACAAAGCATGTGCAATAAAATGCTAAGGCTTTTTATGTTTAGTATTCTAATTCATCGACTTCATGAAAACCAATAATGGAGTATCAGATAAGAGGTTAAACAATTGAGTAGGTTGTTTTATTGACTTAATTATAATTTTGTGCTCATAAATAACATCAAAAGATTAACATCAGACTCATCGAACACCTAATTAAGACAAATATGCTTGTTAAACTGTAAGCAGCAATGACTATTGTTAATATTACTCCATATATTTTGGCAATTGAATTAATACAGACTTTAGTTATCACATATTTTTATATATTAGAGCACTAAAACAATGAGCCACATGAAGTGGAGTAATGTTATTGTGAAAAAGATTATATAATATTAATAAATTGACGAGAATAGTATTGATTATAGAATATAGTTCAATCTAAATCCCCTTTAGAAATAGGAACGACAGTTGCTTCATTGCACTATAACAGAACATAGCCTTTTTTCCATAGTCTTTCCAATTTATCTGGTATACCCTCTGACCAGAAGTTTGGATCCATCTGTGGGAAGGACATAGAGTATGCCGTCCGGACCCAGGGACTAATGGCTATTCAAAAGTTGGAGTTTGTTCCATATTCTTTTCTTTGGTTAAACCGATACTAGTTGTCCAGAAATATATATATATATATATATATATATATATATATATATATTCAGTCATTTTAAGTTAACTGAGATTTTATTTAATATCTTCATGATTACCTTCATTTTTATTCCGTTAGCTTGTGAAACATTATATTTCTCGATTTTGTTCCATTTATGTGGACAAATATGAAGATTTAGCACCTCATTTATGGAAAGTCATTGGTGAAGAAATTGTACCCGCTCAATGTCGTATATATAGGTAAACATGCCTTTGGAATTTTATAATAATGATATATTATTTTATTTTCATGTCATGAAGTTTCAATTCTGCTAACTTTATTGAATGAATATATATTTGCAATAAATTTAGTTTAGTTTGTTTTTGTTTTTCTTTTGCTTCAGTTATCGTCCTGATCATCTATCAGATCCATACAGTTCAGGATGTTTAGCATCTTTTAATTATTTTTTTCATAATCGGTGCTTACGTCGTGTATTATTTTTTTCTCTTCGTGTATTAAAGTAAGTACATCTTGTTTTCCAACTGTAGTGGATAAAAATATGAAACCAGATTGTTTTCTTTCAATTCTATATTTATCTTAATCGCTATCAACTACAGAAAAAATATTATTCGTTTAAAGATTATTCAACTAACTATTGTGTATTTTTTCTCGGTTAACTTATCCCTAGTATCTGAGAGCTATTAGAAGTTGAATATTGTGTTATGTACTTTGTTCGATATAGACATCGGCTGTTTGTTTGAGATATTAGGTACACATAATTGTTAATTAGTTACCAATAAGCACAAACTATTGACTTTTCAAATAACAAAACATTAGTATGCTTTTCCTGGATGGTTACCGTTGGTATTCAAATAACACAGGTGATCATTAATTGTTTACTTCATTTGTATGATGTTATGGTTTTGTTTGTCTTTTGAAATCTTGCTTGATTTGTATTTGAAAAAAAAGCTGTAGTTTAGTACGTCTACTTTAAAATATATATACATATTTTTTTTGTTAGCTGGAATAATTTCTAATACCACCATTAGATTTGCACTACATTGAAAGAAAAAAAACTGATTTCTTAAAATTAAAACCTACTAACCATATGAATTATGGAGGTAATATACAATTTATGAAAATAACTGGGAAATCAACCCATTAGTATCATATGCTATTGTATGCCAACCTTAAATTTCCATGTATAATATAGACGCATTTTTTAAATTGTACGTTGTCTATTATCATACGGGTTGATCTTCCATTTGATGTTATTGTCATACTCTATTGATTTCACGACTGTGCTTGCACTAGTTTTCAGAATTTCTATATCATTGATGAAAATAAAAGTTGAGTTATATATATATATATATATATATATATATATATATATATATATAAATGGGATAGAGGATTATTTTCAAAAGTACTCTTCTAGTACATAAGGACTGAGCCACCAGTTCTTTTATCATAACAATAGTGTGAATATAATTATACTTTCAAGTCACAAAACAAACTTAAATATTTTTTAACTAGTACACTCCTTTATCACAACTTAGCAATTCCAAAATGCTTGATTGATGCATTTCGATATTTATTTGTATTCTCTGCTTAATTACTCGGCGGTAATGATTTAAGGCAAAGGGTAAACTACAACTAAAACGATTAGATATTTACTTGCATACAACCTAGAATGCGAACAATTTTCGAGCATTAGTTGTTAGAATTATCAGTTACAAAGAGATTAGGATGCTACTTTCAATATTCGACTTTAGTATTGATAATCTCTCTCTCTCGCTCTCGCTGTAAATAGTTACTGGCAAGTGCTTGTCTGCGAATAATGCAGATTTTTCAAACATTTAAGTAGGTATTGTTTGACTCGATAAGCCTCAAAATTAATTTGATTTTGGACATAAATTTCGTCTACATTCACCACTACCAATGATTTCTGATTAAAAATCACTCACCCCAAAGTTTACACGTTCAACTTTGTTATGTCTGCGTTCTTGTCTAAGCACCAATGAAAATTATCAATATCATAAATGTCTATTACACGAATTATTTATTCTAAATGATATTGATCTGTACTGTGCTTTACTTCGCAATCATTTTTTTTTCCAGTGATTCACTCATAGAAGATGATGATGATGATGATGAAGATGAACTAAATAAATCTAATTTATATTAAACAAATTGAAATACACTTGTTTATTCTGTTTCGAAATAACTACAGACTACTTACAATGATTTGGTCAATAGTTCTGTTGTATTATTTCCTATACTTTTTTTTTAATTAGTCACGTATAAATGGAGATACACATACAATTTGTTATATACACACGTAAAAATAAGTTATATTTTTTTTATCGTTACCGTTATATATTACTTATAAACACTACATTATAATTATTCATCCTATATTTCAGGGTTTTTTTGCATTTACAATTTATTTTTCATTCCTCAAAGTATATCTAAAATCGTGTTGACAATTTTAATACATGAAATGTTGAGAGATTCATTTCATTTTTTTTACTTGTATTCACACACTACCAACGTGTTAATTAATATCGATGATTAATCAATCAGTTTATCAAATAACTTTTGTGTACATATTCTCTTTGTGACAATACGAATCTCTTCTACACACATTTCTTTGTTTAAATGTAATTTTTACGCATAAATTTTGTAACATGTATATGTAATAGTTTATTTATTTTCTGCGCTACCATTTTTTTTTCAATTTTCATTATTTAAACAAATTTTAGATGTAATATAATATATATTGCAAGACCATATAATCTTGTCTAATTATAGATAATACTATCAACATTCAAAGTGATAAAAACAACTTAATAAGTAGAACGTGAATGATTCTATATCGTTTACTGTAAAGCGGCTAAAATATGAAAAAAAACCAATTATTTTTGTAACTTCGAAGTAAGCACATTCTTTTTTAACTCAGAATCTTCAATAAATACTGTTTTCTGTTTCCGACTTAATTCGACATGTCTCGTCGAGTTAGGCCGTTGTTAAGCATATGCAACCTATGTTCTAACTATCTCAGTTCATAAAAGTTTACAACCTTATCAACCTATTTGACACATTTGTCTAGTACCACATGTCTAACCTCAACATTCCTCATTTAGTTATTCTATCATATGCGACTAATAGTTGGAAAAACATCTGTAATCGAAAAACTTTTATCCGACACATATCTACTTTCAATGACCATGTTTCGTAGCGATAAAGTAATAAAGAGCGAATTACTTTTCAGTCCATAAATCATTTTGTTGGCAGATGAGCATCTCACCTACGCCACAAGTTGGCTTAGTAATCTACTGATCAACTGCTTGAAGTGGGATATAAATCAATGGTTAGCATTTCTTAATGGAATAGCTCAGTGTCATCGATGATGAAGTTACTATTCTCATCTAAAGTGCCATTTCGAAAGGGCAATTTAATTGTAACCTTGAAAATATTTTAAGCAGCTAAAATAGTCCAGTGATTAATCAGGTACTTGCTAATTGGTAATCTGACTCCACAACCATATTATTAAGACTAAGTTACTTCACTGAATCAAAAATATTTAATTCTATGGTAAATAGTTTATCAAACGCTTCAATCTCTTCGTGATTGAATTTATGAAAACTTTCTGTATACTGAATAATTTTCAATCAAGAAAAAATTATTAAGATCCTAACATTCACTTATTAATTTACAGTTAGAAGATTGATTTGTAAACCGTCAGAAAACTGTACATGGGAATGATCAAATAGCTAATACTAATGATATGTAGGTTGTGGCAGCTTATGCGAATATAAGTTACGTCTAGGAGTTTCCTGAAAGCCTGACGTTTGTTGGAATTCATTAGTGCTTTATGCCTAACCGCTGAACAGTATCAAGTGACAAATACAAAATACCAATCAGAATTATGCTTTGGCACCAGAAACTTTGAGTCAGCACCAAATACTTGTCCACAACTGGATAGCTTCTTTCGTTTTACACTACATTTTAGTCCAGAAGTCCGTATTCAGCCTCCACAAAAGTAGTTATATTTCAAGCAGACATAATTTATATACCAAAAATTCCAAACAACTAAATGAGAAAATACGCTTAAACATGAGCAAGCCAAAAGTTACTATGAATTGAGATAGTAAAAAAATAAACTAGCGGTAGATCAGTCTGTCAGCTACGACGTAGAATTTCGTACGTACGTACATCAGTTCAAGTTGTCATATTACATTAGCACAGAGATGAAATTGTCAATTCAAATCCCGTAGTATTAGATGTAGTCGAAGTATTAGCAGCAATCGGAGAGATTAGGGTTCGAGGATATGATTCAAGAAGTATAATCTAGTGAAATAGACTTAAAAAGATGAAAGTGATGAGGAATTCAGAAGATTAGAATTTGAGAGAATACAATGAATGAATGCATCTGTGCCATTGCAAACGATTCCGACCCATGTCATTCAGGGTCTCTAACTATCGATGACTATCATGTTGCGGACCCCAATCAGGTAGTCTACACCTATCAACATGGATCAGTTCACTTATCGGTGACCTCATAGATTTCTCCCATGTTTTGGTCTGGTTGTCCCTAGCTTTCTTCCAATCTACTTTCACACCACAAAACATAACTTGTTGAGGCAGTCGGTGGTTAGACACGTAGCACATCTCCCAACCACCTCAACTGATAAAGTTTCAATACTTCATCAACTGATTTGTCATCCCTACCTAGTACTCGTTTCCTAACGAAAACATTGCTTACTCGCTTGTCCCAGTAAATACGAACAATGCTTCGAGGACATCTATAAAACGAATGACTGGCCATGTTTTACATCCATAAAGTAGGACGGAGCGAACTACTGCGCAGTACACTCGTCCTTTGGTTAGCAGACGGATATCTGTCCTAAGCCATAAGTGATGCAATTCAACAAAATCTAATCGAGCTTTCTGTATCCGTGGTGATATTTCTTCAATCACCAGGCCATCAGCACTGATCAGTAACCGAGATAAGTCAAGTGGTAGACACGCTCAACTACTTCACTCCGTATCTCTAGTTCAGGTGCCGATGCAAGCTAATCCTGAAGCAACATTTTGCGTTTCGGCAGGGAAAACCGCATCCCGGACATCCTTGCATTGTTCCTAAAGGTAGTCAGAAGCCTGCATTTTTCACCGAATGGAACTATGTCAACCAGTGTACCTCCCAGCAAAAGTCCAACGCCCCGAAAAGTCTGAGGATGAGTATGTAGTCTCTTAAGGCATGTTAATAACAAAGTTAAATAAGGATGGAGAAAGTGAACAGCCCTGACGAACATCATTTGTAGTAATCAGTTGTGATGACAGTTCGTTATAAGCTCTGACTCTATCAGTAGTATTTGAGTGGAGAACCTGTATAAAGTTAATGTACTTTCTTGGTACACCTTTCATTGACAGACACTGCTACAGAACCTTATTATCAGCAGATCTAGATGCTTCTTTAAAACCGAGCAATACAATTATTATCAGACATTGGGATGTGTGTTCATGTTCTAGGACCTGACGAAGAGTGGATATCTGGTCCATACAGCCAAGCTCTAGGTCGGAAACCAGCCGGATTTCCTCTAGTCCTCTCTTCACGAGCTCTGGTTAGGTGTTGTAGTATTATTGAAGCCAGTATCTTAGACACTATATTAGTTAGACTGATTCCTCTGTGGTTGTCACAAGAGTACTTTTGTCCTTTCTTATACACTGGGATAATCATTGCTTGAGGCCAGTCAGATGGGATTACGTCCAGTTCCCAGATTCTACCTAAGATCTTAGTCAATTTGACTTCTAAAACTGGACCACCATCTTTAGGAATTTCATGTTGTTAACCTATCGGAACCTGCTGCTCTCCCTCACATTAGGTTTCCTATGGCTTTTTTAGCTTCAATAAGAGTTGAAGAATTTACATCAATTTGCCATTCAGGTTGACTAGAAATTGTGGGTAACCGAAGTGTGGCTGAAGGCCAGTTGAACTGATCTCTAAAGTGTTCTGCGCATCGATTCCGTCTCCTGGATTGAGAGCGAATAATAGTCCCATCTATTTCCGAGATAGTCTCCCTAACAGTCGGATTCCTAATTCTGGTTTCCTTGATAAGTTTAAATAGTTGCCTACTGTTACCTATCACCTATGCCTTCCCCAACTCTCTTTCTTTTGCTGCCCATCACTGTTTGCGATCATTCCGTAGGTTTATTATCAGCATGTGTTTAAGCTGACTCCGATCCTCATCATGTTCAGAGTCAGATGGGATGAGTTTCCGAGCATCTCTCAGTTCGGTATATAACTTGCTGGCAGATATCACTTCTGCTTCCAAAGCGTTTTGGATATCATTCCAAGTTGCCTCAGGGTGCGCACCACTTAGATGGCTGCCCAATTGTATTTCTAGTTGCTCCTGAAATGTACTCTTGAATCTGCTATATTTAAGTAGAATTCTCTCATTTTGTGATCATCTAGACCCAGTCTAACAGAGCTAGTTCTGCCTCAGAAATTCGTGCATGACTAAGTATTTATAGTCAGGCAGTAATAAGTGAGTAGGAATACACACAATAAAATATATAATTGTCGATGATGTTATTGAATTATTACGAATATAAAATTGGTCGATACAAATACCGAATAGTTTAAACGATTATCATTAAAGTTAGCTTAATGAATAAATGGTGAGGTGCTACATACCTACATCAGTAAGGCGACGGAAAGCATCTGTGGAGCTTCTAGAAACATGGAGCGTAAATGGCGAAGGATGCTTATCTTGACATGTTAAGGTCGAAACAATGATTGCAATTGGATGCTGCGTGCGATCCTCAGAGATTCAGCATACGTTAATGGCCCAAGAATCTAAAGTCCTTCCTAAAGAAGACTGTTCTTTCAATTAGGTCAAAGTTCGAAAACTAAAGGGTCAAACATGTAGTGAAGCGCTAGGACTCAGGAGAAGAAAATTAATATCGAACACGAACGAATTAAAAGTGAAAGAAAAGCGAAGTGAAAAAGAATATGAGAAAAGATATAAGTAAGGAAGGGACAGTCAAAAAGAGGTGGAGGAATAAGGCAAACAAAGTAAAACAGAGTGATGAGTTAGTTAGTGACCAATGACGTGCATATTGTGTGTTGATTGGCTCACACTAGTATGGTGAGATGTTGATGAATGAGAATTTGCAGTAGTCGGATGTCGGGCGATGGAGGTGGTTACTTCGTATATTGCAATTGTAATTGTACATTACCTGCATTCGCAGGTGGTCCACCTAACCAGTGCACCGAATGGACCACCTTCGCCATCCCGTCATTTTCGTCATCGCCAACATCGTCATCATCGTTATCACTCATTGATGCACACATCCACAACCTCACACTTACTCACAAATCCATATACGAAGCCTAGATCATTCATGCTAACAGTTCGTGTCCACTCCACTCCACTCCACTCCACTCCACTCCACTCCGTCCTCCATTCCTTCACTAGCTTCAACATGAACGGATAACTCTACTCGAAACACACCGTTCATCAATGAGAAGATCATGTGAAATGCTGTGCAAGTAATGATGTGTGGAATGATGTGGACAATGTGGAGAACACAGTGAAATGCCGTTTCTCCAAATCATCCACATACACATGCTCACACACACACACACACACTGCTCCTCCATTGCTTTCCCAAATCATCTCACACTTCTTCCGACCTCTTCCAACATTGCTGTCTGTTACGAACGTGCACTCACATTCTATTGTCAGTGTTCTCAGTCGACCG